ATATATATATATATATATATATATATATATATATATTCGAGCCGAAGGGGGTGAGCAAACTGGACTAAATTAAAAAAAATAAGAAAAAAAGTAGTGATGATTGTCGGAAAAAAAACGTAGACCTTTTATACCATATTGAAAATATTCATATCAATGGATTCATACACATTGGCCCTTACATCCTCGGTTTACCTGTTTACCACGACAGTTGTTGCTCCTGTGATGTTATTGGCATCATCTAGCCTAATCTAATGGTGATCATTGTCCGCCTCCTCAATCCATCGAATCACCTGCAGGATCCTCTGTGCACTCCTTGAGTCAGTTGTGTGACCTTTTTCTTGCCCAATAGCTAAGCCATTCAGACATGCTCTAACCTTGGAAACCAAATGCGCCTCGCAGCGTTTCCCCAAGCGAAGTAAGGACCCATCAGCCACGCGAGAAGTCTGTGCAATTGTCATAAGAACACGATAGAGCGCATTTTCACAGGCCTCTTGAGCATTTATTGTGTGGTCAGCTGCTCCGTGTCGAAAAGCCGTCATCTCTTTTTGGTGATGTGCATGCGGAGGAGGATCAAGTGAGGCCAACGCGGTAACCTCTGATACCACCTCTGTCGCAGAAGAGCAAAAAGGTGCGAGGGCAACACGCACTAAAACACATTCGAAACCTAAAATCAGGCGATAGATTTCCAACAAAACCCATCGCCTCCTGCTATGAGAATTTGGGTTTAATTTCAGGCTTAATGCTTGCAACGCTTTCTCTAATACAGCCCGCGCCATGACACCTACGGCATGAGAACCAAAAGACTGGTGATCTTTAAAATAAGTAGATCCTGCACAGAGCTCAATGTTTAGCAAAAGACAACTCCCCAAAACAAGGTCTACACAACTCCGTATGTTGACTTTTAGGGACTGTAGCTCCATTCTCGATATGAGAATAGAACTTACCGACATAAAAAGATCGACTTCAATTTTCAAATCGTCACTTTTCCCATTCCCAGGCGCGTCAACGCGAGAAAGAAGTATAGTTTGAGTAAGATAAAGAGATGCAATATCACTCAGCCTCATTGCTTCAAGGTCTGCAATAGGGGTATTTGCTTCATGAGAACCGTCGCAGCAGGTGGATCTTGGCGAAGAGATGCTATCCAAAAGAGCCTTACGGAGTCCAGGAATCAACAAATCAGCTAAGGGGCTCTCATTACCATCCGGACCCCCCTGGCTAGGAGAATTACTGTGCCGCGGACTCGCACATGAGAAATAGTTTTGCACATTGCAGAGGGTTATAATACCCTTTAGAGACAAGCGTGCCCCATTCACATTATTGCTCGTCCGAAATAGAGGGCGCAATACGTGGTGATCAATGAAACGTAAAAAACTCCACGCGAACCGCAAGGACCTACCTTGAAAAGGAATCACTACATTACACCGCGCAAGTTGATCCAGTGTATTATAGAAGCCATTAAGTGATCCCGAGAGACAATTGTTATTTTCCTCGCTGCAGTACCGTATCTCAAGCCTTCTAAGCAACATATCCGTAATAAAGGATTCTGAACGCAGAAGTTTCACATTATACAGTAACCAGTGAATTCGACTCGTGTGAAGGAGCTCTACAAGTTTTCCATCCGAAAGCTTTGCCACGAACGCGGCAAAGGGTGTATGAGCAACCCGTAAGCGCGTAGTCTTCTTGGAAGCACGCTTCATAGGTAACACATTGCTCGATCCCAAGCAGCGGCGGCGATCAAGCATTCTCAGGGAAAAAGCAATCACCCTTGAAGAGGCAACTTGATGATGTGAGCGCCTCAAAAGATGCGTGCATGAAGCTAGAAAAACGATACTGAGAAAAATTCGTTCCCCCACTTCGCCCTTGTCAACGCTTTGGTCACTAGGCTCTACTTTACCTTCTTTCGAAAATCGTGTCGCCTCAACGAGCACCTTTTTTGCGGAAATAATATAATACGAGTCAAATGTTGGCTGAGGTGGGTCAGTAAAAAAAAACAAGGCATGCACCACACCCACAAGGTCGTCTAACGAATACGAACGAACAACGTCGTGAATCTGGGACTCCTGTGCAATCAAAGAATCTAAGCGCTCTACTACGGCCCTAGCCAAGATACCTAGAGAACTCTTCAATTTCGCATTATGTGTTGTAGCCAAAGTGTCGATATCCTGGTCCGCATTCAGAACTAGTCCACGTTTTGGCCATAAAAAAGCTTCCTTACTCAAAAAACCAGAGCGTTGCATGCTTCGAAGAATCGCATGGCATTGGCGTAGCTCGCTCTTGGCGGCGTGCCTGCCAATCTCAGTAGCAAGGCAATCCAATATCCGTCGACTACAGAGTCCTGATCTTGCCAGATAGCTCATCAAAAGTGAAAGCTCCAACGGATCCATACAAGGAGCGAGACGCCGGATCTGGGGCAGAAGACTGTATAACAGGTTGTAGTGAACCACACCGACGATGCCGAAGCTCTGCATCAACATCACGTATTTTTTTGGTTCGATCGTACACGCATCGCTCGTTGCGTCAGCAGTGAGTGTACTGGAATTACCCCCTTTCCGCAGACTCCCTTCAAAACCCTTGCCATCCTCTTCACTTGGAAGCTGTAGTCGCTCTAGGAAAGGGCAAAGGGCATCTCCCAAGGCGTTAAAAATCTCAACAATGCCTCTTCTAAAGGTGAAAAAATCTCTCTCCAGCATCGCTGTATTCCTGTAGTGCGTTTCGTTTTGATCATATATGGCATCCCTTTCATCCACAAGGTCGAGTCGCAGATCTCCATCATCATAACCAGGTAGATCACCCGCCATAACCTCATCGGCAGCTTCAGATTTATGTGGAAACTCATCACCTTGTGCGTGGTCCGTTGCGAGGATACGGTACAGCTGTGCAAGAATGTAACCTAGAACAATCAACTCCTCCGCACTGCCTGACAAGTGGCCAGGATAGGTGTTAAGAACAAACCGATTAATCGCCGCCGCACACTGACCTGTATAAGAGATACCAATCTCCATAAAAACCTTTCTCCTCTCGTTTCGTTGTTGCGCAGCCGTGTGACTTGGCCCTTTTGCAATTGAATTCACATCCTTTAGTTGCTGTTTGATTGATGCCAATATAGTTCGACCAATGGCAACAGCCTCAAGGATAGAAAGTGACACACACGTCGCAAGGCAACCCCCCTCCGTGACACAACACCCTTCACTGTGTGGGTTGCCAGCCGTAGCAACAGCGAGTGCACTAGAAAAGCCCTTCATAATGTGCAAAGGAACTGTATCTCCCTTTTTAGCAATACGGAGGGCGTCCAGCAACTTCTTATATTGTGCAACAGAAAGCGAAACGGATGAGGCACGATGAAGGAGATAATGAAGGGTCCGATAGGTACTTGCCTCCTCCAATCCGTGGGAACGGTAGAGCTGCGCAACCGCCATAGAAAGCTCGACCAGCTCGTGAGCACTGCACTCCTTGGACACATACTCGATTCGCCGCGCAAACGTCTCCAATGAACCATCCAAAGCGTGCCGTGCGCGAGGAGCTCGGTAAAGCGTGCCCAGGTCTACATCCCTATCTGTGGGCATACCTACTGCCCCTTCCTCATCTCCATTTAAGAGGTCTTTTGAGTCCACCGCTACTTCATCGTCCGCTTCGCTATCTGCGAGCAATTTTATCTCCTCAAGATCCAGATACCCTGGCGCCCTAGACATCACGGAATTACCTACGTAGTGCGTATCAACTTCACCTTGCACGGGAGTCGGCGTGTTAACTGACGGGTACAGCAACTTAAGTAAACGGATGACCTCCTTTGGAGTCTCAGCCTGCGCCACACTCCCCAAAACACTATTATACAACCGACTTCGTAACTTCAACGCACAGTCCAAAGCATGAGAATGGGAACGCACACCGTTTGACTTAAGTGTAAATTTCGTACGTTGATTTCGAAAAAAAACTATGAGTTGATCAACAGCGTCAAAAACAGCTGCATGGATACTTCTATGTTTACCACTACTACCCTCTAGAAGGTCGTCGTTGAAAACTGAACCAAGTAGCTGCTCTACAGATAGATAAAAAGATTCGCAGCCCTTAAAACGAAGTTGCACTAACAATGACAAAATGTGGGCTGCTTCCTGTGCAGAAAGCTTATCATCCCTTGCGAGTCTTGTGGCGATATCAGCGCATTTCACCAAGGTCGTGGACAAGATAGGTAAGTGCTCAGCCAAAACGTCTGTATCAGCCTTCGCCGCAGACTTCCCACTGTGGCGCCGCGAGCGTGTTGACTTCAGGCGTGCTAAGCCCTGAAGAAAGGGTACAAGCTGTGGGGCCCCAACATAATCGGCGCCCGCGGTGAAATGGACACAGAAAAGGTTCAACATGTCGTTAGCAATGAACACGTTCCCTACGGACGCCCTTAATCCCCCATCGATACCGGCATCGTTTCCGCTACTCCACTCGAAGCGCGATAGCCCAGATAAAAGTATGCTGCACTCCATCGGCCACATCCGCGTGCCGTGGGATTCTACCATCAAAAATAGTTTGGCTCGGATGGATTCAAACAGCGGCAGCACAATATCGGGAGGCAAAACCCCTATTGCCGAGTTTCCCGAGTCACGTCCACGAGCCTTGCTAAGGACTTGCACCAGCGCACATATCTCACCCATCGTGGCCATCGAGACGACAACCGGCAAAAGGCCAAGCAGCGTCCGAATGGGTTGCTCCACTTGCAGGTGTACGGAATCGATCTGGGTTAGGATTTTCAACCCATTGATGACATCATACGGCTTGAGCGAACGCGCTCCGGAGGCCGAGGAGGAGGGGTCATTCGACGCGGTAAAGGCAATTGAACCCCACACAATCGGCCGCATCGCCCGATCACAGGCATCGAGCCTAGCAAGCCACGCGGCCGCCTGCGGGGGCGCCGCATCAGGGGAGCTCAGGAGCTGCCGCATCGCGTGGGAAGCCTGCAGGTAGTGGGTGCACTCGCTGAGCTTCAGGGGGGGAACGGAGGCGGTGCGTCCCCCCGGACGGGCCGCGGGCGCCGCCGCCTGTCTGACCTCCTCAGCCCCACCACCCCTCGAGGAAGGGGAAAAATTCCGCTGCAGATTCATCACGGCAGCCCCCAACAAAGTCAGCAGCTTGTCTATCTCACCGGAGACACAGGGTCTGTGGGGTGTAGGAAGAGATGCCACCTTTCCTTGAGCCGCCGTCTCGTCGGAACCCGTGCTCACCGCTGCTAACACAGGCTCCACTAAAGGATTGTCGCTTGGGACCACCAAAAGCTTCGAAATTAGTGAGAACACGGAGATCACTGATGTTCGATTTTGCTGCAGTTGTCGGTCCTCATCAGCCTCCCCGCGAGCCAAGTCCCCAGCTGTCGACAACGGCGCAGAGCCAGCGGCTTCTGCTACACCAGAAGAGACATCCGATACATTACCTTGCTGGAGCGACAATAGCAGGGGCTCGTATAGATAATCCCATATGAATTTCTGTCCGTTGCTCTGTCCATCCTTCATATTCATAATCGGCATGCAAACAGAAATGATCTGCCGTGTCGTTTGAAACTGCGAAAGGTGCTGCCGCACCCACTCGAGCCCCTCAGCAACCCGCGCGTCTGTGGTGGAGACCCTAAACAAAGATGCTACCGTGAGGAGTTTTCCAACCTCCATATAGTATTGGGGCGAAGTATCAGCCAAGTCGGAAAGCGGGTCGTGCGATCGCGTCCCTTTGCTTAATAGTCTAGAGGCATCGGCCACTAGCCTTTGTAGGTCGGCATTGCTTGGCCGTGATGAAGACGAAGGGGAAGCATGCGGGGCAATTAAAGAGCCTGTAATCACTTCCGTACCATCGGGGATGGAAGCGCATACGGATGAAACACGATCAGTCGATTTTATGCCTGCAGAAACGGACTTAGCCTGTGCAGCTGACGTAGAAAGCCTTGTCACGGTGGCAGCATTGCCACCCAGTCTCTGGAACTCATTTCGTAAGCGAAGCAACGTCACCAAAACCGATGGAGAGCGAGGCGATTTGCAGCATTTGCTCAATAAAAACATGCTGCCTTACCATAAATCGATTCAGCCTTTTTTGATTACAGTGGACTACATGACGACGAGAAGGAGAGGAAAAGAAGAGGGTGAGAGCAATAAAATTCACATGAATACGGAGAGAAAAGGTAAAAGGAACAGAAAGCAAGTGAGCGAAGAAGTTGCATCTATAATGCGTAGAAAAAATATAGCAAATACGCATGATGCATATTTGATAAGAGTCCACAGCACTATCACGCATGTTCACAATGTGGAAAGGCACTAATCCGTTTTCACGGACGGAAGCTGAATTTCCGAAACATATTTCCACCCTCATTCCCTTGCAGCACCTACAGGCCAACCAAATTTAGTCGGCCGAGGAGAATTGTTGCCTTTGTGTAGACAACCATACACTGCGCCTGTTCACCCATACTCCCTCGCAACGAAAATCTCTTAGGGGGTTGTCCTGTATGTTTGTGGATAGCGTAGCATCATAGTCGGGGTTGACATCATCATTCAACAGAGATTTTGGCGTGTTGTCTCGCTGACTAAAAGGAAAGCTCATGTTCAAATAAAAACTTCAATATCGTGAGCTATCAAGTGTCTATGGGTTGATTGTCAGCATTTTCGACAAGATACAAATTACCATACTTTATGGCAAACGATAGACCCTAGCAGAAATCTCAGCGCAATGAAAAGTACAAAGGGTCAAGTAATCGTCACACAGCAAAGCACCACATGATGAAAGTTCTTATCTGACCTGAGTTCGTTGCAGAACAAAATACTAACCTGATTTCTTAAAAAGATCACAATAATGTGCTTTGAGTAATCCAGGAACTGATTCTAAAAGATGCTCAGGGAAGGTACGGAATCATTAGAGATACAGCTGCCGACGAATGTGAAGGCGCAGGTGCTAACGCAGCGTCGTTGTACCTTGCAATTGGGACAATTAGATGGGAGAAATTAGCTGAAATATAACCTATTAAATTTGATGGAATAAGTCCCCCTAACGGTGTAACAATTGAGAGAGCCCCCACAACATCGTAACTTGTCCTCATGACTGAAACATTACCATTGGCGCCGCGATGAAGATGTCAGTCTAGACCCTTTCAACGTTACAAATTTATTTAAGGGCATCGTCGATACAGGAGTGCCGAGGGTTTATTATCACGATGCTGCCTCTTACCCAATGGCTATTGATGCAGCAAGCAGCCTCGCACCATAACTCTGAAATCAGAATATATTTAGCAGTGTTTGAGGAGAAAAAATCCTTCGCAAAACAGTTGGAATAGAATCAAAAAGCACACAACCAATGATGTATATGTAAATATAAATGTGTGTGTACACTTCGCTATTGAAAGGGGAAAAGTTTTCTTAAGTAAACTAAACCACTTAACTCAAGTACAAGATTTGATAAAAGATAAGGGAAAGGGGGAGATAAAATAATAGTAAAATATACCTAAGCTCCGCTCAACAACCCAAGCTGCGACACCATCAGATAGGTTACTAAATTATAATATACTATGCAATAAAAGAAACACAGAATTCTAATGTACATGTTTACATACTACTGTTGTATTTAGAGCGCAACCTCATCCGTTGGCCCTTCAATAAAACTCCGCTACCCTTCACCTGGCTACCGATGTCACCACCTCTTTGAAGGGAGCCAGGCGCGATGGGGTCTGTTCGGTTCAATTGACGGTAGTGACGCCAAGATTCAAGATACTTTGCTTGATTAAAGCCCGACGTAACGACAGGTGGTAGGAAAGGCTTGCCCTTCGAACACGATGAATCACCCTGCCTACCTTGGTCTGTATTCTCAGTTTCCTCAACCATCGTGTCTCCTCCTTGACTCTGTTTCATCGCTCTAACGTCAGGACCACTTGAGGCTAAGGGCACGTGAGATCCCCTTGAATGCAGACGTGTTGGTAACTTTGACAATGGTGGCGATGAATACGAGACATCCTCACTACCAAGGTAACGGATCACAAAAGCTCTGAGTTTAGGGTCTGTTGGTTTTAATTCGTGGCAAGAGAGCACATCACGCAAAGCATAGCACGGCTCCTGAAGCCTAAAACGACACATCGCACGGTAAAAGAAAAAGACTGGCTGCTGGTTGTCGGCCTTAATTGCGTTTGTGAACTCAATTTCAGCCTCCTTAAAATTACCCATAAAATACAGCTTACGTGCCCACAGGTTATGCAAAGTAGCAATACGTCCATTCGCAGTAGAAGCTAATGGTGTGATCTCGCCCCCTAGCTTCTCCTCCAGCTCGAGAACCCTCCTGTAATCCTCTAGAGCGTGTACGTAATCCTCCTTCTTGGAATAACAATCACCACGCGCAAGTAGCACCAAGGTATTATCCGTTCGCCACTTCAAAGACTCCGTGTAATACACAATGGCTTCGTCCAAGTTGCTCTTGCTTTGAGAATGGCCACCGGCAGCGCCAGGATCAGCATAGCTCTGCTCGTCTGCTAGACTGGTTTGACCAATTGTAAAAAGCACCGAGGTCATCATTTCAACCGCCTGGGTATGTGTACCATTGCTTTCCTTTATACAGCGGAAAAGGTCCCTAACACTCCGTTTCAGCTGACCAGTACGGATATAGATTTGCGCACGGGTGAAGAGTAGATCGACATCTTCGGGAAAGACGTTGATACAGCGGCTGATTGTACCAACGTCCTGACGTGCGAGTGCCTTAGTACGATAATCGGTGTAGGACTCGTGAAACTGTTGCCTCGCAACGATGGCTAGGTGAGTTTCGTCTACCCCTTTCCCTGCATCCTCGACTTCGGTCACCACATTCACACGCATTCCACAACCTTTAAGCTCCTCCTCTAGCAGCGTGCGCGCTACCTTAAACGCCTGCCGACCACAGCATAAGTGTACTAAAAGGGTCGCAATCTGCAATCGATGAGGGCTGAAGGGGGATGCTGTGGCGTCATTCGTAGACTTCTGTATTTCCTTTAGATACTTCTCTAGTTCCCGTTCTGCTTCATCTTGCCGCTGCATCGCCATCAAGTACATGCACCTATGCAAACACACAAGCGGCTGGTTGGGAAGTAAAGCAAGTGACTGCTCTGCAAAGCGCAAGGCCTGTGCAAAGTCACCCATACGGTAGTGTACAAGGCCCAGTGCGTCAAGGAGTCCTGCCAACCGAGTTTCTACCTGACTTTTACTAACCTCACAAGCCCACGGCTCTTCTCTCATCGAGGCAGTAAGCCTAGCCCCTGATTCTTGCGCGGCAAGGGTTGCATCTTGTTCCACAAATTGCGCCTCTTCATACCTGACACCATCATGCTCGGTGGAATCGGGGAAGGCAGAGATCGCTAGATTTGTATCTACCACTGGGGCAAGTCCTTGACCTACTATGTCGACCTCATTTGACATGAGTGGGCTCGCTGATTGAGCAGAGTGATTTACCGAAATTGATGTAAGCCCCTGCGACTCCGCCGCGGGAGATGGTGAACCCTGAAAAACCCACAAAGCACGGCGGTACCAGCGCACCGCCGACGCTAGATCACATGCCATAACATAGCACTCCCCGAGTGCTACCATCGCATTAGCATTGCTACGATTGGGGGAAAAAAAAATACACTCTTGCAGGGCAAGGATGCAGGGCTCAAATTTCCCATTTAGCAAATGGATGATACCCTTGTTATAGGCTTCACAAGCTCGCTCGAAAGCAATGCAATTTGCCACATTGTCAACCATTGCGATGATACTCTGCTAAACGTTTGATCCTGATTATATTGTTACTAGAACCTTTATATCTATCTCTGTACATTGGCTTCAGAATGAATGAAAAGGATACGTAAAATGTGTCTTGGAGCACACGCGCTCAGGCATGAAAACGAATCGCGTCGTCAAAAAAATTGATACTAATCTTTATTGCAGCATTGCAGAGGATTTCGTGTTCCATCCCACTTACTCGTATTATAAAATTTTTCGATTATATTTTAAAATGATTCTTTTTAGAGCGAAATTGGGCATATTGATAGCATACAACCCACATCATTAATGCACTAAACATATGATCCATAATCCACCATCGAACCAGCAGTACCTCAGTCACAATTGATGGAAATGAACAGGAAGTGATCCTCAGCGATGAGACCAAAATGTGGTTTGCATTGAACGCATCATAATTTGAGAAAAAAAATGCAAACATCACCAAGAAACAACTGGTCATGACGTGTGGCAATTGGTACTTCCCCAAAGGAGCAAATGAAACTTCGATGGACTCTGGCTGTTACGCTCAGCCACTCCGTAATGTTCTCTGTATAGTCTATCGTTATGGTGTCCAAAAAAAAAACTCAACATACTTTTTGCCATCAGTCTTCTTGGGGAATGCGTACAAAATGAATGCATCCCCTTTTCCTGCATTCAAACCATAGGACTTGTTAATGCCTTCCTTTAGGATTCACTTCCATCGTATTGGAGCGCGCGAGATTCTTGGTTTGTCCCTTCATAGGGCTAGTCTTGTGGCCCTTCAAGATGACCTTGGAATTCATACTAGCAGAAGCGACTCCGTTTCCCTGTGTTGCTTTCTTTTTGAGCTTTTTCCTATTTCCTCCCTTGGATGATTTGGAATCAAGGCAAGATATATTTTTCCCATGTGCGTTGTCTTCTATAGCATGACAATTTTCATTTCGTGTACTTAAATGCTGCCGAGATGTGTTTTGAAGTGGACTAAGTGTATCTATAGAGCCTTCTTTGGCTAGAACGATAGTCTCTGCGGAAACATGTGGACTCTCACTATCATCGTCGGCGCCACTCGTCGAGTGCACGTCAAGAGAACTGGATCGAGGACGCTTGGTGCGCTTCTTTCGCGTCTCTCCTTGTATTGGGAAATCTTCCAAGGGAAAATTTTGTTTCATAGCCTTCGCCCTCTTGATCTGTGCCGTTTCCGAGCTGTCTTGGACCTTGAGAAGGGACTGATTGTATTCTGTCTGTGTGTTGAGTTCATACAAGAAGCAATGCGTAGCGTTATCTTCTATCGGTAAACCAAAAGGAATACACCGTTCTAGGTCTGCATCGGGGCACCTTAGCTTTGCATGGAGAGGGCATTCGTCCATACAAAGACCTACCCGGCCTGCTATAGGCGTAGTGGCCGCAATATCAGCCGTGATGGACACTAGTTGATCGCCACTATGCCCCGCAGCACCTCGCCCCACAACCCCGTTCATCTTTAAGAGACGGTATAGCTTACTGCACAGCGGATTTGATTCATTCAGAAAGAGAAGTGTAGTGCCGACATCCTCCTTGAGTTCGATGAGTTGTTGGCAAGCCTTGCTCAATTCCTTGCTGTCGATGAAAGGAATCCGAAGGACTCCCTGGTAAGAAAAGTTCGCCTCACTATAGTCCACATCAATCTTATCGGGATAAAAACGGCCAAGCACAGACTGCTCATTCTTAACTGCTTCATGCAACTCTTCGGGCAAGGCATCAACGCTGAGTCGCGGCAGGACGGCGAGAAGCTGCTCCACGGGGTGCAACGGCGCGCTGATGTGCATTTTTACGTCCACCTTAGCGGTGAAGGTCGCGAGGTCCTGCAGTAACGGCGCGTAGTGGAAAGGATAGTACCAACCCCAGGAGGGGCAACCCTTGGTGTAGTACCGCATCACCCACTGTGTGCCGCGAAGGTATTCGGCGCAACACCGACGGATGTTCAACTCAAAGGCCTCTCGGTCCGCATCCGGATCCCAACCAAATTTGTGCTTATAGTATTCCTCCCGATAGTTATCTGTGAGATAGGAAAAAGGAAGCGACTGTGTGTCAGCGACGAACCGGTTCTGCTCTTTCCGTGCACCAACAAGTATGCTAAGCAATTTGTTACTCACCTCCTGGGCATTAGAGCGATCCGGCAGCAACGTCTCCAGAACTTCCTCAGCCTTGTACGCGCTCTGTTCGATGCGCTCTGCTACTTGCTGTTTAGCACGTTCCTTTGTTCGTAATACAGACCTATATTCTCTTTGTAGTTCCTTCATTCGTTTATCTACAAAATTGCGTAAAAAGGTAGCAAGCCTGCGGAAATCCACTTCACCACCATTGGTGAGATATGAATGTTGGTCGAAATCGCGCACGTAGTGGTCCACTAGTAACTCGATGCCTTTGGTTTTAATGGAGATCAGCGGAATATGCGGCAAAAAATCGTTCCCGACAAAGAAACACAAATAAATAAAGTCGTCCAACACGCGTTCAAACTTCATGTCCGGAATATTACTAAAGTCTCTCATTAAAGCCTCACGAAACTTGAAGAGGTCGAAAAAGCAAAAGCGAGTCATATCAGCGCTGAAAGTTTCGGTGAGTTGGTTTCGAAAGATACTCACGTGTTGCTCGTGAGTCGAAAGTCCGAGGCAAATCAAGTCCGCATCCATGCCTTGAATAAGATGTGTCGTGCGAGGGTGATAACCCGGTTGAGCTCGTAGAGTTCGAATGTATTGCATGATTTTGTGTTCCCCTTCACCAGGGGTGTGAGCATCAGAAAACAGAACCGCCAAATGCTTCCAGGCAGAATCCTCATTCAGTTTCTTCATAATGAACCACTTAATTGCGATTCCCACTCTCTCCATGAAGTCGGTAGACGGGGTAATAACGTTGTGATCCCAACGCCCGCGCACGACTGGCCGCGGTAGTTTGTTTTTCATTTCAATCTCATCCGCCACCTCTTTCGAAATGGTATCACTTTCTAGACGTTCCTCCGCGGCGCGGAAGCGACGACTGCGTTGCTGGTTCATCTTGCTGCGCGGAGCCACGCCATCTATGCAGAGAATCAGACACTTGCGCGGCCTTGCTATTTTAACAAGAAGGTCGAGATGTTCGAACATACGCTCAAACATCTCCTCCTCAGTCTCCGGCTCCGGCAGTGGATGTGTATCATGACAGCAGGGGTGAATAAGCCCATTCATGTCCACGTAGAAATTGTCATACCGATACCTGGCGTCACTCTTGCTTAGGAGTGATTTGCCCTGCATCGCGGCGTCAACGACCTCTTGCGGAACCTCCTCAATGCAATTGGAATACCATCGTTGGAGCCATAGAAAGAAGCCCGCAATGCCCATTACGCTTTAAACACTTCTATTGATCCGAACACTAAACGTGTTAATCATCTACAGACTTATTTATTCAAAGTAGTAGCTCAGAGACAAGGATGATGATATGCCTTGAAAAGATAATCGGAATAGTGAAGGAAAATCAAAATATCAAATCGTAATAGCACCATCTCTTTTTTCATCTACGTATACTATTCTAAAATTAAAATTCTCACACTCCTATGAAACACAGATAAGATCACTTATGTAAACTGAGTGGGTGTTGTTGTTTTTGCTTCTACGATTTACGTAGATCGAAGATAAATTCTTTACATGTTTCACGAAACCGAACATTCGCTATCGAAGAATACTGGAAGAGAATATAGTTTACATGTTTAAAAAGACCGTTCAATTCTGCAATTCGCCATATATAGAAATGATATCGATGACTACATGACCTTGCTTCTCTCGCTCTCTATTCCCCCCTTCTCTAAAGTTGTATGCCTACATGTCTGCTCTGTTGTGCCTTATCGCATTTTTCGACTTCAGAGCTTCTATAAACTGTAAATGCCTTCGCGAAACGTCCCCTTAAAGACTGTGCCATCGAGGTAGGAGAGTGTCCCCTCACCATGAGGAACTCCGTTGATTTGTTCCCCACAGTACACGCTACCGTCTGAATATACAATTTTGCAATTTCCACTTGTAATCTTACCATCCTCCCATGAGGACTCGAAAACCTTGCCATCAGGACTGATGAGGCGCCCGTGTCCAAAAGGCTTGTTATCGGCCCACTCCCCTTCGTACACACTGCCATCAGTCCTCACCTCAGTTCCATAGCCACAGCGAGATCCACCTACCCAATCCCCCACGTAACGAGTACCGTCAGAGCAGATGAACTTGACAGCGCCATCCTGTGGCTGGCCGAGGTGCCACACGCCGCATAGAACGTCTCCATTGTCAAACGTGAAAGTTCCCCTGCCCTGCTGCTTGCCGTCTAGCCAAGAACCCTCGTATTTTTCCTTTCCGTGGTGCTCATAGACGGCGGTAGCATAACCCTGAAGACGATTATACAGAAAAACACCTATATAGGTGGCATTCTCTTTCGCATCGTAAAAGACACCATATCCGGCGCGGTGGTTGAAGCGCCAGTCTCCTGTGTAAACAGAGCCATCCTTCGATTTCTGCGTGCCGGACCCGCTGCGCTCGCCCCGCTCGAACTCCCCCTCGTACACATCATCGCCCTCGGTGAGGATGCCCATCCCACAGCGCACGCCACGCTCCCAGGATCCATCGTACACCGCACCGGTAGCATGGTAATGCATCCTTCCCTTTCCATGCCGCTGGTCGTTTTGCCAATCTCCTTCGTAAACGTCACCGTTGTGATACACACATCGACCATACCCCTCGCGCACCCCAAGGGTCCAATCCCACTCTCCAGTGTAGACGGTGCCCTTGGGGAAGTGAAACTCACCACAGGTGACGCCTTCAACCGACCACTGGCCCTCAAAGCGGACTCCGTTGGTAAGCTGGACCGTTCCAGGACCAACAGGGCGGTCCATATCCCACGTATTGGTATAAACATTGCCAAGCTCGTTGATGAAGACACCCGAGCCATGGCGTAGTCCGTCTCGCCAACCTCCCCTAAAGATCGTTCCGTCGGGATACAGCGCGTGTACGTTTGGGTCCATCACATCGGCTTGCCAAGTCCCATCCACGACGACACCGCTTGGATAAGTGAGAGACCCGGCGCCCTCACGTAGCCCTTTAACCCATTGGCCCTTGTAGAGAAGGGGTCTCTCTGGCAAGAGTAGGAGCGCCTCACCGTAGCCGTGGCGCCTGTCGGCCAACCACTCACCGCGGTACCAGCTGCCATCCTGGCGTAGCAATACGCCATAGCCATCGCGCAGCCCAGCCACCCACTCTCCAATATAGACACGGTCTGCCCATTGGTAGACCCCCAGTCCGTGCTTTTGCCCGAGCTGCCATCCTCCATCGTAGGCCTCCATGCGGCGCTCAGGGTCGAGAGTGATGACATCCCAAGAGACTGTTATTGTCGCCGTCTTGTCAGTCGGCGCCTCATTTAGGTTGTGCTCATTGCTCTTGAAAGTCGAGATCAGGTCCTTTGACTTTGCCTCCGCCACCACTGCCTCAATGCTTTGGATACCAGTAAGCGAGGCCAAAAATGTATCATCGATATCAATCCCACCTAGTGTAGGATCTTGAGGAAGAGTCATGGCCGACCACGGCAGGCTGTGCTGTTCTTGCACCATCCGCACTAAAGAATGACCTAGTAACATGAAGGGACTGTTCAACTTCGACCTGCACTCACCGTTGAGGAGCTCATAGTATGCGGCGCCACGGCCGTGCGGATAAAGGCCCTTCCATGCACCGGCATAAAATGTGCTATACAGAAGATGCACAGTACCCTGGGTGTAGCTGCCCAGATTATGAATAGTGTTGTTGTAGTCAAATTTAGTGAATCTTCTATGATTATCCTCAGGTATAAAACCATCCTCAATAGGCGGGACGGTTGCTGCGGCGGTTGCACCCTTAAAATGCTGAGCACTGTCGCTTGAATCCCTCTCTCGCCCCTCCACCACCTCGTCCCCTTGATTCCTACACATTTGCGAGTCCTTATCCACCCCAACACGTGTAAGGGACATCAAGCGTGAGGAATTTGGAACAGCAACATCATGCTCTGAAAAATTTGTGTGCATTGGAAGTGTACGCTTGCTCTGGTAGTACCATGTACTATAATACGTCTTACTCAAGTGAACTACAAGACGAAAGAAGCTGCCGCCGCTATCATTCAGATAATTTACGCACAGATACAAGTAACGAGTAGCATTATGTTCTGAATTTGTATCTCCTTGATTGCCTAGAGCGGCACTCTCGGTAACTAAGTCCTTAGAAATGTAACTATAATCTGCTGGATGAATTACCATTCGTTTCTTGCTTTCTGGGGATAATAGCTTCCATGAGGCGGTATTTCTAGATGGGTGTAAGTCGACGAAACTTAGCAGTAGCTCGCATTGACTGATGAAGCAAAACTCATGAAAATCTATCGTAACAAGAACATCTTCGTCAATGGGAATTGCATAGTACAAGGATGGTCTTGTGGCGCAGATCCTAACATCGCATAGCTCTTGTTCAGGAAGAAGAATTATCAAGTCATCATAGGTGCCCCTTTTCATCGTTAGATTCCTTGCCTTACCATATGCACTCGCAGTGGTCTCCATGATTAACTCCCTACGACACCCAATGAAGCTCTAATACTGGAAACAAAATTGAAGGAAGTAAAATATGAAACCTTTCAACAATATTTCATAAGATAATCTCTATATTGTAATTATTTTAAGAGAAAAGAATGCTTTTTTGTGCGTATATGTTACAACAAATAGGTTTGATTTCAAAAAATGCACTTACAATGCTAGAACGCATATTCGTAGTAGAATGCACTTTCCGCTTAAATGTTAGCCATATTTTGTGACCTGAAAAAGTTAACAAATTGGAACCCTTTTGTCCTTCCCCCTTTTTATCCACTAGTGAGACTAGAGACGGCGCTTAACCCACTTGTTCGTTCTATGAATCTTTCATAGAATGCTGCTCATAAACATTATGTTCCGCTTCTATTGCTATACATTCACAAGAGTCTTGCGAGTGTGCGCATGCCTCATTGAACGTCACCAGCCGATGAGATTTCAAAGATGAAAGTATCAAAGACAAGAAAAAGGTAAAAGAGATATAGATAGGCCTAGGTCCCTGAAGGCTAACACTGATTGCATTTACGGGGTGAAACCTATTGGAATCATCTTTTCTTCGGCCCACCTGTTTATGCTACTACCATGGAATAATGATGTCCACACACAAGCATAAGATTACATTCAATGTAATCTTATTGAAGTAATAGAATAATAGTAATCGTAAAAGGGAACACACAATCAAAAAAATAACGAGCACGTACACCTGCTCTAACTTAGAACATGTAGTCTTTTTATTTCGCATTTGCTACAAACCATACAGCACTAGGCACGACAATACCGACTTGCTATGTGAAAATAAGTTTAAATTTCAGCAAACAACAACGGTAACAGCATAGCAATAAGGAGTGAGTGTTCAAAAATATATAATGTTTTTACTAGAGAAAGCGAAAATTTTACCCCTCAACCATCCACAATTAACGATATCTCTCATTGTTGCTTCACTTTTAGTCGTTGAACCTACATCATCAAGCACGCATTCCTGGAGCACGGTTCTGCGTTCACCTTTTTAGCCTTAATAGAAGGTCTGGTCACATAGGTTGAAGCAGGGTGGTACCCTCGAAAAACGTCGTCGTTTGTGCCTCCTTGAGAAATATCATTGCTAAGTGATCTCTCCACAGGTTGTTTAGGCTCTTTTGTCGAGATCGTCACTTGGTTCACCAATATCTCCATGCTTGAGAAATTTCCATCACCGCACATGGTGATTGACGTGCTGCGATTCTTATTAGAATTCACAAATTCGGGGATTTCTCCTTCATCTGCACAAGCGACCTCGAGTGGCCTCGTTTCAGTGGAGCCACTACCCTTGACACGCACACATGGTGAAGTTAACGTTTCGTGATCATCATCGGCTATGTAAGGCATGTTTAAAGGGGGCATGATTTCGCCCATGGAATATCCTCGATCCTTTGGCAGATTAGGGGATCTAGTGTTGGGCGTTTCACACGGATTACCAAAGCACGTTAATAGTTGCCTCCCTGTATCGGTTAGTGTGGCGGAGGAAGGAGTGAAGCTGTGCTCGCGGGATTCAAGATTGATCTTTGAAAGGACACAACCGCCGCCGCCCTTTGGATGCAGATTCATATACGGAGACGCCGGTGGCGTTACAACCAAGCAGGCGTCATTGCTGGAGACAGCCCGCCTCAGATTCGTTTCGGGTGCGTTTGGACCGCGGCCCCTCGTCGCGCCCACCCCCCCCTTTTGAATTGTAGTGTTCTTTGGGCGGTAAAAATCCGGCTTGGCTCGAGGCACAAGTTCAGACTTGGACCTATCCACTCGCTGCATGTTAGGTATCTTGCCCATTATTGATGCTCTAGAAGAACTAAGATTTTTATTGTGGGCAAGCAATGCTTTGGACAAGCCGGTTGAGTTTATGTTCTTACCCATATTCCCTTTGGTATCAGCGATGATATCTGCGGCATGTTTTGTAGAAATACCGTCATTACCGCTCGTTACCAATACGTTTTCGGTGCTGGAGCTCAAAGGTAATGCTAGGGGCACTGACGCCCCATCATCTCCGGTTATGGTGGTGTCACTAGCACCCAAGTGGGACTTCAAAGGCTTTCCGGCATGAGCAAAACAGACCTCAGAACTCTTGCAGTCTTCCTGAATATCCCGACCACCACTAAAATAAGTCACTAGAGGAAAGTTATTGATGGAAACATCATCATTGTTTGGATGCCCACAAGGCACAGGTGTGTGGGGTTGAAGTTGAGAGGGCGGCACCAACTCAGATTCCGGTTTCTCCAAAAGCGATAATTTGAATGTGTAATCAAAGGGATGATTTTCATTGGTGTTCTTTCTCGTTTCCTCGTCATCTAACATGATAGGGTTGTGCGATGAAGGTAAAACATGCGATTGCGGCACAATAGTAGTCGATTGGCTCTCTACAGATTCATGTAAGGAATCGCTACTTTTGGGAGTGTAGTCCTGTTGCTGAAGACCAACCGGTACTGTTGCGTAAGCATCCAAATCGTCAACAGCGGGAAGTGGGGTTTCAGAATTTGCTACTTTCTGAGTGTTTCGAACGTCATTTAGAAAAGGTGCAGCGAAGTGCGGCTTCTCTTCAATAGTCGACATTTTCTTGCTGCTTCCCTCAGCATGGGAAAAAGAGACAGGTACAGATAAAGGACTATCCAACCTCTTCGAGAAGGATGATGACGACAATGATCTAACAAGCATTGGTGAAAGAAGAGGGGTACTCAACCCGGCTAACTGGGCATCCTTGACTAGAATATGAAATCGCAAAATCAACAGAAACAGCTGTGACACCTGTTCAGAATTTTTGACCGAGAGTTCAAATATGGGTAGTCGGTCCGATGCCCCTGATGGAAGTAATGTATTCAGGTTAGAATTCGAGAAGTCGGACGGCAATAACGACAAATTAGCGAATTCACTGGAGTTCCCTTGATTAGAGAATAGCGGTGACGCTTCTTTCATTACACCATTGATTGGCTTTGTCTTTTCAACTCCTTTTCGAGCTTTAAAGATATTCTTAAACATACGCTGAAATGTGTTATTTTTCTTTTTCCTACCATTCGACTCATCGTTATTAGGGAGTGATCCAATAGGAAACCCCACAGACTTGAGGCAGTGCTCCGACACAAGCTCTACAAGCTCGTGATCTACACGCTCGGGAACACATGAAGAATCTGAATCGGTATGTTTGAGGTAAGAAGAGACTAAGTCTAGATGGGTGCCTACTAAAAAAATTGGCACTTCTTTGCGATATCGAGAAGTAGAGACGGAAGGTCTTTTGGTGCCATTTTGTTGTGCCTCATTAGCGTACCCCGATTTCATCATGAAGTTTTCCAGACCACTGCGCCGCACCTTGACAACCTCATCTACATGCTTCTTAAGATTGAGCAGAGAATCTTTAATAACAACAGAATATACAAACACAATGACATCCGCCATCTCAATGTAGGGCGAGCGATGAAGTGCGAAGTCGCTGTCGGAAGATGTATCGATGACCTCAACGGTGTAAGTCTGTCCATCGACGTCGTCTTGATAGGTAATGCTGTCCAAGAGAGTCGGAATATGATGCTCGACAAAGACGCCATCAATAAGCTGACTTATCAAAGAGGTCTTGCCAACCTTTTCATCCCCGAGTAAAACAATACGGCACTGATCTTTTTGAGAAGTGCAATCAGTTATCATTTGCGCGTGATCGATGTTTTTTTCTAACAATTTCCCTTAATTCAAATTATATAATAGAAATTGTTCTTTCTATTGTAGGATAAAAAGCTGTTTGTTTCTGTAAACTGAGCACATAAACCGTACCACTAAAAAAAGCCCAAAACTGGAACCTTATTCAGACAATAAAAGCTGCCGATCACAAAGTGCATACATACATCAATAAAGGGAATCTTGTACGATTAATGTGCCTATATGTAAGGGTAAAATAAAAACAACCAAACAAATCTTCACTAACTAACAAAAAGGAAAAGAGTTTCACGGATGGATGAAAAGAATGACAAAACTGCAAAATGAAATAGAGGGAAAGGGGTTAAGAAGTATGTATTATTCCCTTTTCAAAAAAAAAACTTTAAATAACAGACTAGAATAAAAACACTATTTTAAATGCGTAAGGCAGATGGTGCTTGGGCAAGTTTCTTGTGTCGACTGGAAAAGGAACAACAAGATAATAAATAAAGGTTACCCATAGAGAAGCTTAACCAAGAACTCGCATCAAAAGGGGAAATAAGCATGTTGTCCGAAAACATAAAACAGTAGAAGGGAAAAAGAAGATAGAAAAAAAGGGCATATCGACTTCCCTTTGTCACACTAATTATTAGTTCTCCCACCTCTCTGTTTTTTTGAAAAAATATTAACGTTTATGAATAATGTATCAATTAGAACGAATAAAAAGATTTAACAAAGACAATATTATCGTACATATGTATCTCTCAATACTTCTTGGATGGAAAGATATATCGATATTCATATCAGGGAATACAACCAATAAAAAATACATAAACAGAAGTGCATCTGTACAAGACTCAGTGCTTTTTATAGCCCTTTACGCATGACTTGAAGATCCACCGTTATTGGTCATATTTCCCGATCATCTCCACATGCTTCCCGAATTAGAAAAAGTACAAAAAACACGAACCAAACGCACTCTCACACACCAAGAGACTTAGAAAATAAGTGATAAGGGAGCACTAAACTCTCTTCCCAGGTTCGTGAGAGCACGTGCATCGTGCCATTTTTGCCAGACACGCCAAAAACGTTCACAGGTAGACTGCGATATTCCAGTGTTACTGCATATCAGCCGTCATCAGCCCTCGCTGACGTTGTGTCTAGTACCAACCTCCACCATACGCGATGAGCTCTCTTCGTGAAACCCTTTCATCAGGTTGCCACACGACGGCTCTGCGCCCAAGATGGAACTCAGCTCCTATTTAATGTAAGCTGAACCAATCCTGTTGTGCAAGTAACACGCTGATACAGCCTGCATACCCCCGATAAATGATGAATTTCGTTACTGTCGTGAACACTAGTGGTGTAACAAGAAAGGCATTAGCATTTTTCTCATTGGTCCCTCCCCCCCCCCTCCCCCCTCCACTCACGTTCGTGATTCATCATAATTATTCAAATATTCTTTGGTTGTTATGGCATGTGGATTTACTAAGGGTCTTTCGAGGGTGTGCTGCTCACAGCAGCGGTGTCGAGGCAGACAAGGCAACACAGCTAACGCCATCTTCGTCATTTTAGGTTGTACCATGGACTGCAGTTCTCCGTGTTTTCTGCCCTGATCGCATAGTTTTTTTTCCCTCAAAGTAGTTCTACGAACAAACAGTCTTCACTTAATATACTCAGCCACGCTACACATCACATTTGTCCCTACGCAACTCTACCATTTAGCGACACTATTTAGTTTTCTTTATATGCTTCTAAATAATGCTGCACGTGTAGCTAACTGTTCTTGTAGAGGAATCTGTGCTAGAGTTTTGCAGCACACAATCAAATGTGTTCAATTTAATGATGAGACCCCTAATGATTAAATAAGTCAAAGACATTAAGCTAGTCTATAGAGGTGCTTCCATATTTGTATTGGTCTATTCGCTTTTGGAGACACAAGGAGCACAGAGAATATTGCCTGGAAGGCTTTATGTTGAACTAATTGTCTTCATCCTGGGAATCTAGAAATAATTCCATAAAAAATGATAAATTATTGCTACATGTGTTTTGCCGAATTCTTTTTTTTGAATTGGTAATAATATTAAACGTGTCTTATAATATTATAGTTAATAATAATACATTAGAGGGCATTATTTCCAGTGTCTCCTAATGTAGAATAAAGTGAATACCTCGCATCATCCTTTTTTCAATCCCACTCACCGCTAATATTTTTGTGCCGGTTATTTGTGGTATCCAGCGCAACAGCACGCCGTTTTGCATCTTTGGACTTCCTCATATCGCGATTTTCGCGACGAAACTTTTTACTCAAGTGTGCAGCGGATTGTGAAAGGTCAATTTTTATAGGCGGTGGTTCACTCAAAGCAAACCCACGTGCTACTTCAGCCAAATCTAGGCTTTGCACGTTAAACACATTCTTCAGCTGACTGCTGCTGTAGCTCAGCAAGTACCCCTCATAGGCCTGACGTGCCGAGGTACGCAAATAGTAGTTGGAACACACTAGCTTTTCAAGCTGCTCCTGAACGCTACTGTTGAGTTTGGAAATATCGAATGTGTATTCGTTCACGGAAACATGGGCATCATTGTAGAGGTATTTGAGAAAAAGATTCTCCTGGGGTAATAAAAACATTAGTGCATTACCACAGCGCCCCGCACGGGCCGTGCGACCGACACGATGAATATACTTTACCGGATCGTCCGGTGGGTCGAACTGAACGATCCAATCTACGGCGGGAATGTCCAAGCCGCGTGCTGCCACGTCCGTTGTGAAGAGCACCCCATTTTCAGCGTTGCAAAACTGCATGTAAGTAGCCGAGCGTTGGTGTTGCTTTTGCTTGCCATGAAAAGCGATACACGGCACGTCAATGTAATTAAAAAGTTCGCAATGAAAACTAACACTATTACGACTGCTAAAGAAAACAATCATCTTCTTCTTGAGATTTCGCTTCACGAAGTGGTAGAGAACGAGAAGTCGCTTTGCGCTCTCACAGATGACGTAGCCCTGCTCCAGCGTTTCCACGGTAGCCTTGTCTTTTTTAGACTTCATGGAGATGAAGACAGGTGGTTTCTGGAACGAGATGCGTGCAAGCTGTTCAACACGGGTGGTTTGTGTAGCGGAAAACAGGAAAGTTTGACGCTGTTTGGGCAGGAGCGATACAATCTCACGCATATCTTCCTCAAATCCGTTGTCGAGCACACGGTCCGCCTCATCCACTGCAAGTATGAGGAGATTTTTGGTGTGCCAGTCGTTTGTTAGTTTCAGGTGATCCAGTAGACGCCCAGGCGACGCGACGACGATCATAACCCCATTCACAAGCTTGAAGCTTTCTTGCTTCCGACTTTGCCCACCAATACAACACAAAAACGTGATGGATCCGTTGAAGTACTTAAGCAGCTTAAGCAGAACACCTTCAATTTGCAAACACAGCTCACGCGTTGGACCAATAATAAGAGCCGCCGTTCCATTGCTTGGCCGGAATCCCGCACGAGTGATAATTTCCACAATGGGAATTAGAAATGCCAACGTCTTACCCGCGCCCGTCTTGGCCTCCGCAAGCAGATCCTTACCTTGCAGCGCAGCAGGAATACAGCGAGCCTGAATACCCGTTAATGAGGAGAACTTCATATCGTTCTCTAAAGCCGCGACGATATGAGGGTTTAAACGAAGACTCTTATAATCGGTAGAAACAGCGTCCATCTTCTCGACACTATACCTCTGACTCATCGCAGCAGCGACTGCTGCCTTTCTAAAGGCATCTCCGCTATCACCCAATTCGCCATCTTTCCTTGCACGCTTGCTTTTTGGTTGATCCTCAGCACTACCCACATCATCAGCAGCGCGGACATCACCGCACTCCCTTTGTTCGTAATCTCTTCCATCGGCACCCTTTACGCGAAGTACCTTCGCTGGACCACTGTTCGTTCTTATGGTTGATTCACGGATTGCGGTATCTTGACTAGAGCACTGAGTCGTTGACAAGGAAGAACTAGAATTCTCTTTCGCAGCGGGGACCTGGGGCTGCTTCGACTTATCCGATTTAAGATTTCCCTTCATGTGAACAGAAGGCACTTCAGCATCATTGTGTGTCAAATGAGACGCGAAATGCTCTGTAGAAATATTCTCGTCCTCCCGATCTTGCAACACGTCGGCCGGCCGCTTTCCCTTATTAGTTCGGTGATGGCGCACACGTTTTCGATGTGCGGGTGCTGGCCCTTCAAGGCTACCCCTATCTCCCTCAGCAGAATCTGATTTCAGAAAATTTTCATGTTTTTCTGTCTCGGACATCATGAAGTCTAACTAAAGATGGTGAAAATGGATTTCAAAAAAGTAACGAAGAAAGGAAACAGAGCTACTAACTGTGGAAATAGCAAAAAAGGTGCTGATGCAGACCTCAATGAATAAATGAACAAAGGACCATCAAGCCTTTATCAATTTTGCTTAAATTAAAAACCGCATTCAGTCCTTTACTTCAGGGAATACTCGAAAGCGTTCAATATAAGATACAAATAAAGACCAGTTGTCTCGAATTTGAAATTTAAGCGAATTATTAAGATTAAGTTAAATGACAAGGACACCCCTTTATCCAACAATGTTGGGCGTCGGGATGGGGGAATAAAAGGAACAGAGCAGAAGAGACTTGCTTTACCTCTTCATATCCCTGCGTCAGGTTCTGCCGTAACCCACCCCTCTCGTCACTTCCCATACCTGAGGAAAATCATTTCTTGCTAGATTTCTTGGCTTCGCGTCGCTTTGCCCAGAGAGTCTTGTACTGGCCTTTCTTTGTCATGTTGAAAATTGCCTCGTTATCGCGCCGGTAGCGCAGCGTCCCGAAGTCCGACGTCCCATGCTTGGCATCGTCGTAGCCCATATCGTCATTCCCTCGCTCTCGTTTTGCTATCCTCGCGGTTGTAATTTTATTCGACTCCTTCTTAAGCTTTTCCTCACTGGTTTCGTCACGCATCTGTCGTATCGCCTCCTGCTCCGCCTCCTCGACACGCTGTAGCGCACCGTGCACCTCATTTTCGTCGATCGGATACTCTGCACACTTTACATCTGTCTGCTGCTCGATCTTTTGGAGTAGCACGATGTCGTATTGACTCATCAAGTTTACAGCCTTACCTTCGGCGCCGGCACGGGCAGTACGGCCCACACGATGAATGTAATCTTCTACACGATCCGGGAGCGAGTAATTTACCACAATGTCAGTATGCGGAATATCCAAACCACGCTGTGCGACATCAGTGCATACTAAGATTCGCACCTTTCCCTCCTTAAACTTGGAAAGAGCTATGTTGCGGTTTGCTTGGTTCATACGGCCCATCAAAGGCAGCGCGCGGTGGCCAAGAATACGCAAAGTCAGGGTTATCTTATGCACCAGAGCCGCACTCCGACAGAAGATCAAAATGCGGCTTCCCGTTTCCTTGCTGAGGTATATGTGCAGGTAGGGAAGCATTTGTGTAAAGGGAACGAAAATATAGTACTGCTTGAGGGTTTCCACAGTTGTGTTTTTCCGATGCACTTGGACCAACACGGGGTCGCGCAAAGAGGCTTTTTGAAGTCGATCAATCTTTGTGCTTAACGTAGCCGAGAAAAGCAAAGTCTGGCGCTCAATAGGCAAATACTCCAAAATTGCATCGATCTCCTTTTCGTAGTCCATGTCAAGCATCTTGTCAGCCTCGTCCAGAACGAGGGCATGGAGCTTCACTAACTTGAACCCCTTCGTGTTGCTCAGGTGGTCCTTAACACGCCCTGGGGTACCAACAATCACATGGGGCCGCTTACTAAGCTCACAGGCCTGGTCTACCATGTCTGCACCACCCACCAGCGTCGCGACTCTCAGGCCAACACTCTTGCCGAGCATGATAAACTGGGAGGTGACCTGTTGAGCAAGTTCACGCGTGGGGACCATGACTAAAACGGAGAGGTAGGGCACCTTTGGCTGTGTGAGCAGCCACTGCACAAGCGGTAGGACGTACGCACCAGTTTTGCCGCTGCCCGTCTGCGCCATGCCAATGATATCGCGCCCCTCAGCCACAACAGGGATCACTGAGGCCTGGATGCGGGTGGGGTGCTTCCATTCCGCCTCCTCGCAGGCCTCACAAAGCTCCTCGCATAGACCGAGGTCGGCAAAAGTCTTAGTATTGTTCGCCTCATCCGCTAGCAACTCCGAGCCTAGGCTCTCTTTAGGGAGAAGAACACGCTCCTTTGGAGGCCCATCGCTCAACTCAACATCGGTATGGGTGGCTTTGATGGTCCTCTTACGTTTTTCCTTCACTTTAGACATCAACGCTACATAGAACAAGCAGAAAAGGGGAGATGGGAAGTTGGGATATAAAGGGCTCGCAACTCTGTACATTAACTTTTCAAAATCAATATATGAAGGAGTAGAGAAAAAGGTAATTGTAGAATGAAAGCGTATCAAACGCTCACGCAGAGATCCTCATTTTCTCCTTTCATCCTCCTCACCATCTCATCATGACGTTTTACTCGTAAACATGGAAACATGTGCATCTGCCGAACAGTCGCAAGCAGATGGAAATGGATGTAAAAAGTAGAGTGGGCAAACGATAAAAGCTTCACGCATCCAGTTCTACATTAGTGGAGCAAGTAATTGCGCTTTATATGCGACGGTAGTTTCATATCCAAATGGGGATTAACCACCGGGAGTGAACCCAAGTCATTGTAAGTTTTGCCTAACTTTTTTAGAAGATCAGCCAGCGTGCGGCGCTTAGACTGCTGGGATCTCATGGCGTCATTTGTCGTGCTGGATGCGGTCTCGACCCTGGCCCGGAGCTCGTCACCACGAAGCCCCATCTTAGGCTCACTCAGATGCTCTTTGCTACCCGCAAAGAAATCCTTCCAGTAAACGTCGTCGTAATAGCCCCTCTTGAGGTGGTCCGGCATTCGATTGTCAACCACACGATCTGGCATAAAGATACCGTCCTTACCCGGTGGATGCATGGCCATCATGCCTTTCCGGCGGCGAATCTCTTCTAAATAGGGATAGATATTATAGATAAGGGAGTGCGGAACCTTTCCACGACTCGCGGCAATTTCGCTGATGCTTCGGAGAGCCTTGACGGCCTCGAAGACTGCCTCGACGGTGTGCGTAGGGGACCGCGGAGTGTTGACTGCGCGGTTATTGATGCGACAGCCCGCGTGTTGAAAGCCAAACGCGCATAAAATATCCGCAACGCGAAAATTAGCGACGATGCGCTTTGCAGGGTAGAGTAACACTCGTGCGCCATCCGCATTTACACGTACAGGATACATCGGGCCCTCCTGTTCGAGATCAACAGCTATAATGTTCGAAAACGCCTCTCGAATAGCTTCGTTTCGCGCCTCCTGAGTGCTTGGCGCGACCGCGCGACCCCAACCAGCGATTCCCTTACCGGTGCCAACATACAGAACGCAGTAGATCCACTGACGGTGATCTGTTGGACTAAACTTGACTACACGCATATCATAGGCGACAATGTTAAGCTGGAAATTGCATAGAAACCTCCCACGGTGCTCCAGTGGAATGAGCTCTGGGGTCACCCAGGTATTAGAGCGCCACTGATTGTACTCGGTGTTAAGTTTGTGCTTCCACTGAAAGCCCTCAGGGTATAGATCGGGCACAATACGATATTCGTTGTAGAGATCGATGCCATTGTCCATGCCCTTGAGGCCTTTGCTATCTGCCGCGTGCGCAACCGCCTCAGCTGAGTCACGCGTATCACGGAAATAGAGTGAAGTGCCGGTTTCAAGATCCACAAATGGATTTCGCATCTTTTCGAATCGCCTACGTGTGAAGCTACCAGGCTTCATCCAGGGATAATAAACACGAGGAACACCACCTCGCATTGAGCCCTTGGTCGCAAAAGAAGTGAGATTCCTCATCACGACAAGCGTTGGGAAAAGCATCCTTGCAATTGTCGGTATTGATAGATGTTTAAACACAAACAAGCTCTTTCTTGTTTTTGCTCCTAAATTTAAGATAATACTATGTAAGTATTCCTTCCGCCGGCGCACTGCACCACAACCAACTCCGTGGAGGCAATTTAACACAACAGCGTAATCGATGCCTATCCTGTCGGCAAGTAGTTGCAGCGAATTACAATTCTGGAACCTCACAAAAATAAAGTAGGAAGAATAGATAGAATTCACGGAGTTGTCACTGTAGCAGACAGTATGAAGACTATATATAGTTGGTAGTTGTATTTAGTAATGTACTATTAAAAATTGATTTTGACTGCCCTATGACATTCCACTTCGCTCTGCCTGCTGGCAGAGAGCAGTTCTATTAAGTTACTTTAATTACTCGATTAAGAATTCGACTTAGACATCTTCTTGTTTGTCGGATGCCTATTAGTGGAAGTAAACGTCAAGAACGAGAAAAAAGAAAAGTAAACGACCCGATTAGACACCCTCCCCGTCCTTTCCCTCCTCACGAAGCCTCTTGAGGTTACTCGTTCTTTCAGCCTTCAACCCTCCTGGCAACGGTGTACGGGGCTTCCAATTTCCCAAAGAAGGATCATACTCCTCCAGTATTTCATAAGGACCGAGTGCATCCAGCTGCTTGGTTACAACAGGAGCCTGACCGTTCTGCGACTTACCAAGACGATGATAGTGCTTGCAAAAAGTCTCTGCTAATTGCCGCAACGTTGGGTGATAACTACGAGATAAGCAGCTTAACTCCCATGTAAAACTCGCATCAGCATTTGCGGAAGCGGTCTGTAAGGCTTCAGGATTATATACGCCGCGCCCCGCTATAACATTATCGTTCCCGCCAAGAATAATCCCAGATGCAAGCGGGTAGCGGAGCAAGAGTCGATGCACCAGCACCAAGAGTGCCATGCTCGCATGAGGAGGACAAGACGGAATAAACTGGACCAGCCGCCGCACAAATGCGGTGATCCGGACGATGGAAAGATGCTTTTGAGAAAGCACTAGCATATCCACAGCGCGTAGGACCAGGTTCACATGGAATGTCCACTCTTTAGCGGCGTTCGCCTGCACGAGGCTGCTTCCTTGAGCCATTGAGTTCGCAACGGAAAACGCCACCGACGAAAGGCTCCCACGTGAGGACACCTCATCCTCATCCCCTCGGCTACACTCTTCGCCCTCGTCCTTTGAGTCACGAGTCATCTTGCCTCGTTCGGTCCCCTCAGCACTGGGAATGCCCAACGCCTCAGGCAGACAACGAAAAAGAACCTCGTGAAAGTAGCTAAGGTCTACGCTCCACTCGGATGAGGTGGTCGTCGCATCCTTTTGGGCCAAAGCAGCAGCAGCCACGAGAGCATGCAGCTTTGTCGTAACGGATGTCTCCTCGTCACATACGAGATCCTTAAGGACTTGCATGAGCTGCTGGTACAGCTCAATATTGATAAGTGGCGCGAACTTAAGAAGCCCCTCTAGGGCAGGGGCCAGGATCTTGGTTTTGTGTATCGGCGAACACGCCTTGGCAGCCTCCAGCACACGCAAGTAGATTACAAAAACGCGGTGAATAATGCGAGACTGCTTCACTGCAAGCTCGGCCCGATCTCGCCGGGCCTTTGCCTTTTGCATTTGCCGTGCTAGCTCTTTGTCCTCTTTTTTCAGTCGCTTATTCTTGGCCTTTTCCTCGGTGAAGTCAGCGCGATGCATGTCCACCATCGCCACCCGAATATGCAGCAGGATGTTGAGCAGCTTGGGGTTCATGGCGTAACTCTTCTTTCGAACGATGGCTAGCAAGGCCGCCACAACGTGCTCAGTCGCGTCAGAAACCATTTGACCACCCAGCAACTCGAAAAGTGCGTTCATGCAAGGCTGGGCAACGCGAGTGGACTTACTATTAGCAAAATTTACAGCCAGTATCAAGAGTGTTTCGGCGTGGTTGAACTCGGGAGCCGCGGAACTCACTAAGCGGGCACACATACGACTGCCAAGCGCCTGCTGCTCGGGGTGAGATTTCTTGCTGAGCTTCCGCAGTAGCTGCAGAAAGTGCTCGTATTGAGTCAACACCTCGTGTTCTAGTTGCTGAACTTTGAAAACCTCTTTTTTCTTTCTCTGGTCTGTCTGTCCATCCTCTTGCTCCAAGGTCGCCGAAATGCGATAGTTAGGAATAACATCACAAAGGATAGAACACTCTTCGTTGAGGTTCTGCACGAGCTCCGCGTAATCCGTGACGGCGCGATTGTGAAGTTGGTGCAGTGCCTTGAGGCGGTCCTGTAAGTAGGACGTATTCATGAAGTAGCGCTGCATTGCGAAAGATCTAAATAATAAGTGCTATAAATCTAATCTTTTTATAAAGCCTTGTGATTAATCCTTCTTTAGTGCTTTCGCCGTTCCACACGTGATGCTTTTTATCCTCCAGCTTGCTTTACTTAGTACGACCTTATGTGAAAAAAAGATGTTATGAATCAAAAAAGAAAAAAAGAGAGAACCTTCAACTACATTACATGTGTTCCTTTATACAAATGACTGCATTGTTTATCCAAGAGAGAAGTAATAGCAATAATGAATCAAAGTCACCTCATCAATGTGACTCGGAATTTTATTGTACTAATAGCACGGTAAGAATAATAGCAGGGCAATATATATTTAATCGAAAAGCTAGAAACAAATAATAGCAAGTTTGCTATGCACTAGATTAATGAAAAATTTTTTAGGGTGGATATCATAGAGAGGTAAAAATGTGGTCTTTAATAAAGCCAACCAACATTACAATTGGAATCTTAAAGGGAAAAGGTTGAAATCAGATATAAGAATAGTGAACAATCCCACTTGTAGGGGACTAGCTTAAAAGTTGATGTGCACTTGAAACCTTCTCATTTTGCTAGAGATGCCCTTCAATAGGAAGGAGACAACCTTGCATTTATCACGAGCAATATTTGCCAATCCGTTGGAATTTAAAGGGGACACTCCGAATGGTCTCACAGAGCTACGCCGCCTCCGTTGGGCAGCTCCTCGTTTAGAACGTCACCGTTAAATATACTAGCGTTGTACTCAGGGAAGCTGAGGGACGCCCTAAAGAAATCGGAGTTTGGTCATCCCACCCACCCACACCAGCGACCCCAATAGCAGAAGCGTATAGGAAGTGGCAGTCCTAGGTACTTTCCCTACTGCGTCCATCGAAAACGCACATCGCACGAAATTCTTTAAAAAAATGACAATGAATCACGCTTGCGCTGGAGGGTGAAACCTTAAGTCGAAAGAAATGTGTATTTATTCGTCGCTTATCGGCACCCATATTATAAAGTAACCCATAGGAAATATAGAATGAGGAATAGCAAGAAAAAACGGAGGAAATATAACTGAAATTTTGTGACGTTTTAAATAACGTTATTGTATATCTTTCTCATATGCATAGATGCGAAATTCATATTGCTACCTCTAGATATGCTTCTATGGGTACATTTAGTTAGTTCATGAACAGTAATGTATCGAAATCTAAATTGTAACACCTCATCACACACACACACAGACCCAGAGGAAACTATACTCTCTTTGAACAAGAGTTTCCTTTTCAAAGGGAAAAAACATCTCACACACAAAAAAGTCAGTTTTTACTAATTGGCTGTTTGGGAATTGTGTTTGGATCTATTTATTGCTCTTCCTGAAAGCAAAAAGATGGAAAATACAGTAGGCATCTATTATAAAGTTTAACAACCCATAAAATGTGAATCTATAAAATGTGCTTTACTGCTACCTTCCGAATTAAAATTTTATATTCTTGTTCTACTTGATGCACATTTGTAAGATAAAGACCCATGGAAGCCGGTTCTCCTGTTGGCTTCCAAAAGCTGAAGCTTAAGTGAGCATTCATATCAGGCTTGATAAGAACAAAGATTAAGAAGAAGAAACATTCCTTTTTATAAAGCCAGTAAAAGACTCGGTTTTACACGTAGGACAGCATGTTTACACGCTATCGTCTTCCCTTTCTGCGTTTCTGCACGTCTCAGAGATTTTAGAATAACTCCATCGAGTATTGCGGATCCGCTGCGTAGGTCGGCATCGGTGCAGAGCTCATTTCAGTCCACCAAGCTGCGCTAGCCCTACCGTTACTCGTCTCCTCGCTCTCAAAAGCACCGCTGCCTTGTATCCTGCGCTTGCCTTTTAGCGAAAGACGGGTGTCGTTTGGATGGTGGGCGCCCATCACTTGTCGCAGCTCCTGCACAGCGGTATCATTTTTTTGCTCCACAAAACAGGTCGGAATCACTATTTGGCCAAAAGGTGTAGTTGGCGGCAACCCCTCCGAAACAAGCGTGTGATAGGGAGAAGAACTAGGAGCCACGTTCTCTGCTTCCTCGCCTGAAAAGTGCGCTCCCGTTGTGTTGTGAGGACGAACTGCTCCAGAAGCATGCTGCTTTTCAACCAAAGAGCCCATACCACTTTTTTGTCGTTGCATGTAGCGAATATCCTGCAATGCAGAATTAACGTTTTCCTGGTTGGCTTGGTTTTGCTTCAGGAAAAAGTTCACTCCGCGATACTGGTCTGAAGGTGTCTCTGAAGAAATAGGAACGCACTGTGGTCGGTGCTCCACACGTACCCGCTTAGCACAGAGATCCTCACTGACGGCAGTAATGGGGCCTTCGCCATCTACAACCTCCTCTCCCAAGCCCTCCTCTCCATCCGATCCCAGGCCAGTTCCGTCATCTTGAACATGAAACTGCTTCTGTTGGGGAGTGGTACCGCCACTGGGGCGTGCTAGCCCCATGTGGCGTACCTGTGAGGTTTCCACCATGTGTACAGGCGCCACGAGGGTGCGCCCTGGGGCTGGATTCGAGACTTGGTGGGGCCCACCATAGTTATTGGTCCGCCCCTCTACAGTGAGTTGGTGCTGCTGAAGACCCGACGTAGAGGGGAAAGCGGCCTTCCCCGAAAGCTGCTCTTGATGTGGGCCCATGTAATTCACCATTTGTTGATCCATCAGATTTTTCTCAAGTTGCTGCAGCTCATGGCGTAGAGAATCCATAGCCTGATGCGTACGTAGATACTCCAGCACCATTCCAGAGGGTAACACCACACCATCGCAACTGCCAGCCAAAACAGTAGCCTGAAGCTGAGGCGGTTTGATCTCATCGATGGGAGTAACATCGCCCTGATCCTCCTCACTGAGGCCTGGTTCCACCCATTCAGAGACTCGGCCATCGGTATCTCGCTCAACCAGTGTCATCGAACACTTGTTAGGCGCCTCTGGGGGCATTTTAAACCCCGCGGCGCCGTCAAACTGGATTGGCGACGTCCCGGAACTTTTCATAAATGGAGCAGTCACAGCCTTATCATAGGTGCGTACCATCCGCCCGGGGGGACTGTGCATGTCAGATTGATGGGAAGGGAGACCCGGCGAGGTGCCCACGGAATGGCTAACGGCACGATGAATGAGGTGATCAACTGCCTGATTCACAGTTGACTGTTGGTTGACACCTAAGTGCTGTGTGGTAGTAGTGGGAACCCCACTACTCGTATCGACTAGCCTTTCGCGCATGCTTGCTGTCGCAGTGGCATGGTTTGGCTTGATATTTACGTCAGGTTCAACCCCCAATTGCCCATCCTCAGTATTGTTCATGGAACGCGACGGAAGTCTACCAATATCACCTGGATTCACTGCGCTTGAAGCGGGATGACGACCCACAACATCAGTGACATCCTGAGGAAAGAATGATCCATCTTTGGCATTCTTTTGAGTGTTGCCTGTGGAACTGGAGACAGGAGCAGGAAGGGGTAACGACATATTGCTGTGATGTGTGACTGAGCCGTCCTCTTCGCTGTCTCCAAAGTTTGCACCTTCATCAGGGAAGTCATTGAAAACACTGTCGTCCATGGCATTATACAATTCATTGAGGTTCACTACACTTTCGGTAACCAATGGGGCAGTGGTATTGGCCTCCACGTTTTCCTGCCACGCACTGGAGCCCTTTGGGCCCTTGGGAACACCTATTCCTTGCTGGCTTTCTGATCCATCGAAGGATGGGACTGATTCTCCATTCACGGTTGCGATAGTGTGACATACTTTTCGATGTAGGCGATGAACAAGATGGAAAAAGGCAGTGTTTTCGCGCTGCACAGCCGGTGCCAGCTTCTCGAGGCGAGACTGCTGAGTCGATAGGAGCTTGGCGGCTTTCTTGACACTGTTGTCAAACTGCATACGATCCTGTACCGTTTCAGCCTCGATCTCAACCCGTGATGCATCCCCTTCACCACGCTCCACAATAACGATAATGAGCTGCACACAAATGTAAACAAGACATACAAACTTTCCAGGCAGATGATCTGACTGCTTCATCCAGTGAGAAATCATGTAGAGCACAACACGAGCTAAAGGGGGGCTGCGTTTCATAGCCTCGTACATCATAACTGAGAAAAGGTGGCCTGTTGCTTCACCACCAGATGGCTCCACCGCTTCGGTGGGATTTGCGATGCGAAAACGTCGCGACATGCTCTTCGCCAGTGCCACCATCAAGGCAGTTCGCGCAGGAGCGGAAGTCTTCATCTGATTCAAGAAAAAGGACCAAAACGTGCTGCCCGCACCCACGGGTAGTGCAAACTCATTGAGGGAATCCAGACCGATTGGAACAAACCCAAAAGACGAAAGCAATGCACTGACGATGTTTGGTGCCTGCATATTAAAGTCCTGGATCATCCTGCACACGCAGCAGCCTACAAGTTTTCTGGTCTCTGCGCTAAAGTTGTGCGCGCGATCTAGAAGCTTCAGCAACATCTGTGCATTGTCAGCGCACGTGACACTCCTCGGTGCGCATCCAGGGAAGTCAACACAATAGTTATTTTCATGCGGGTCTGTCGGTAGAAGATCGATATTTTCCTTACAATTCCGTAGCAAGACATTACACATATACCATAGCGCAAGGGCATCGTGATTGTTGTTGAGTTTGAGCTCCGCGAACACCTTGAGGATGCTTTCCAGATAAGACGCATCGATCGTCGAAGAAAGAAGCGTTACAAGTTTCACATGTAGCATTAAAACATTGGCCTTGTGCTCACTGGAAATTTGGTTGTGGCTACGTTCCATACTAACTAACGCCAGAAGTGTAGTGCGAATGTAGGGTTCCAGTGCTACGAATAGAGTATTGCGATGCTGCCCAGCGTTCGAGATAATGTGATAGATCAAGAAGTGCACGGCGCTATTCATTTGAGTAACGGGGTCACGCATATATTGAATTAGCCTTTCCACCAGCACCTTAGAGCCCGCACACTCTGCAAGAGTGGAGAGCACACGGCTGACGGAAGTCTGCCCAACCACATGCATAGTTCCGTTCACAGAGCAGATCAAGGAAACACTGCGCTGCATGCCGCAATAGTGGCACTGTGTCGATACATCAGTGAAGTACTCCACAGAGGATTCAACAGCCTCAACTATGTGTTCATAATGTAACACCATCGCCAACTCTGCGCAAAGCAGCTGTGGGTCGACTGGAATATCACAATGTCCCTCAAAAGCTTCAGTGGATAACTTGCCAAGGGCCTCTATTGATTTGATAGGTACGGCGATGCGAAGGGCTTTGAGCATGTCAACAGCACGTCGGGAATCGGTCACTGAACACGTGCGCACGACTTCACGCAACACAAAAAGAACATTATAGACATTCGCTCGACTTTTGTTGATGGTTGTGGCCACTTCATCGGGAACTTCATGTCCGGTCATAGCTAGTCCTGCACCACGGGAGAGTGCAATAACTACCTTGGCGAACATTGATACGGACATATGCGTGTCGATTGCAAGCGCGGACATGAAGTAGGCTGCGTGCGGCATTTGGCTGTCAATGAGTGTTACGATTTCGATAGCCCCATCGATTTCATCATCGAACCTGCTTTGTAATAGGGCACAGATACACATGTAGAATGGATTAGCTGTGCTTAACCCAGAGGTGCACATCGGCAGCAGCTCTTGGAAGAGGTGTCGTCTCATTGTTTCGGTATCTAGGAAGCCCGCCATGTCAGGGTGGCACAGGCTTGGGTAGAGGTACCTTTCCACATATTCTCGTCGAATGGGAGAGCGAAAGCGTAGGAAGAGTTCGCTGCAATGAATTGAAAGTGCGCGGCCGAAACTGGGGCCGTTAGCCGGGTCCGTCACCGCTCGTTTCAAGCGCTCATAACAGGCTAACAAAAAATCTAAATTCATCATGGTTGGCTTCGTCTTTAGCACATACTGTAGAGATGTAACCTGCTCGTCGATTCGCACCTGGTCAACAGTTTTTACTAGAAGCGCCAACGCACGATTGGCAACTAGAGGAGATAACGAATTACAATAACTTCTCAACTTATCTTGAAATTGGTATGTTATGTCCATGGGAAGAATGTCGAGCTCCAACAGATTGCACGCCATGGTAGCAAATGCACGGTACTGTTGAGGGGGGAGGAGCACCACACAGTGCGCACCACCGCGGCAAGTGGGCGAAGAAAGGCCTAGCACATGATCGCGCAACACTTGCTGCACAAAAGGGTGGCGCAGCCGTTCGGTATCGTTCATTTGGGAAAGAACAGTGGTGATGAGCTTCACATACAGATCAACATCGGACAAGCTGATCCGTGACATCTGCATATGAAACAAGAAAGTAGAATAGCTAAGGCTCACGCAAAACGGACGATTTTCAATTAAGGGAGTCACTCTAGTGTAGTATGAGGCCAAAGTGTGGAAGGAACTGGGTGAATTAGAGCTCGTCTTGAGGTTCCGCTGCACCTGGGCGGCGCAACTGGCAAGAAGTTGAAAGTCCGTCTCCCCGTCCTGTTTCAGTCCCGCGGTGCCGTCAATGTAGGATGTGGAATCTCGACTGTGCGTAGGCCGCCGTCGAGTTCCGCCATCGCTGTGCCGTGCTTCAGAGACCACACTTCCGCGTCTACTATGGGTACCGCGTCGTGCAGGGCTGGCAACACCGGTAGCTGATCGGCCCAGAAAGAGATCTGTAACCATACTATATAAATCCACAAAAGGTGATGGAGAGAGTAAAAGAGAAAAAACTCTGTGTAAAACTAAAACAATTTCTCCAAACGCTAACTCCCCTCTATGTGTGTATAAAAGAAAATTTAATCTAGCGCCACAATATGATACCTCGATTCAGCACTTCCTTTTTAGAAAGCAAAGCTTGGTGATAAAGCTAAGTGGCTGGAGAAACTGTCGTCTATCAGTTTCAGCTTAATGGTGATAACTGTATGCCGAAAATTGGATATGTATATATATTTGTGTGCCTTCACGTAACTGATAATAAACACAGAAAACAAACACAGTATGTTATTGTTAAGAAAGCATCAACTCTCAAGTTAGCATTAAAGAGGAACCCCACCCAATTTCATTAATGAAATGTGTTTGTATCATTCAGCGACTAAGGCTAATCAAAAGAAATTACTGTGTAAATCGAGGAGGCACTCCACCGTTAGGTGTGCGTGTGGTCTCCATTGCTTCAGATACATTTGTAATGGAAAATATTGTTGAGAATAGAATGGGTACAAATTCTTTACATTATACACTTTTCTCATGAATGAAGAAGAAAATAACCCCACTAATAAAAAAAATCAATCATCTTTTTTTCGGACGGCGTGTATTGATCAGTGGGGCGACACAATTCCGCTTCCAGGGACCTGGAACAACGCGGTGTTTTCCAGAGCGGTGGCCTGTAATGGGGAGAAAAGTTTGTGGATCAGAAGGATCCTTCCCTGATATTATTTTTCGAGAATTATGAGCTTTACCAATTTTATCAAAATCTGTTGCCCCCTTAGTTGAGAGATTTTGGGTACGCAATAATTGACTACGACCCAGATACCTCGAATTCGGATATGCCAGCTTAGCTGTCGATATGGGTAAGCCCCAGTGGGGAGGCTCCGAACCGAAAGAAGATGGATGGTAAGACGTTACAAGATGCGTTGCTAGTCTCGATACGGCTGCGTGCATCGCCATGACCGGCTGTTGCAACGAAGCCCGGTGTTCTTTAGTATCGTGATGCGCGCTGCTCCTCGTCAGAGTCGTCCCGGAACCGTACATGATATCCTTGCTCGCCTCAGCCGCCGCCGGATGTGATGAAGCGTCCAAAATAACCTCTTCCGAGAACTTCGAACTGCCTGAAATGGAAGAAACTGGAGCATGAGGTGCAGAGTCCGACACAAAGGCGGGACTGTGCAAACTCGCACGGGACGATCCCTTCTTCACCATGCCTTTATTATCTGAAGAAACTATCAAACTAGTGCTGGGCATAGCCCGATTGCGCGAAAAAAAGCCCCCGGAACGTGACTCTGTATCAAAGTATCGTCCCCCCGCTGAAGATTTCTGTCTTGAAGAAGCGTCAGGGGAGAGACGCTGGGGCTTTCTTCGCGTACTGCCTAACTGCGACGGCACCGTGACTACGAACTCAGATTTAGGCTTTGAAAAGCTGCACGAAACTCTATATTCTTCGACACGATGAGACGAGCTAGAGACAGAAGACTTTTTATCCTCGTCGTTGACATCACATCGCAAGATACTATCCAGAATTAATGGGTCAGCTGGAGAAAGTGGCGGAAGCGAGTTCATTGTCCCCATCGACCAAAAGCAACACCCACTTTTAGTAGATGCATCATCTGCTGTAACGCCCTTCGTGGGCACACCAGCCAGCAAAGTGCGTGGAGAAGAGACTTTAGTCGAGCGTAGTTTACCCTGGTAATGCGGCGTAAAACGCTTGGCTCTTGAGGAGGATTTCATTGGCTCTGCATCGATCTCCTGTGCATCCCCGTAATGAGAAAGCATCTTGTTGACATCGATGCATATAGCATTAATGCGCTTATAATGATCATGGTTCGTTGAACTCATTTCAACTTGAGGGGTGACAGAGGCAAGATGATAAACGGTGAAGCGTGTTGAAGAAATATATAGGTATATATATATGCATACAGAAGGAATGACTATCAGATATCTTCGTCTTGGAAGGATAGAAGATTTTACTTCCAGATATCCTGATAATCATGAAAATAAGGATTTTGGTGTTGTAAAATTCATTTAGCCGCTGTTAAGACGTGCCTCGACGCTACATTTCTTTTACATACATCCTGAACTACTCACACAACTTCTAGAAATATATAGACATATATATATAGTCAGAATTAACTCTGAAAGGGTGTTTTTCCAAAAATGGAAGACTATACAAGTTGTCGTACGACTATGAAAGTTTACAACAACTACGAAATGGAAAGCCATTTTTAAGACTCGGCTTATTTGCCGCTATGTTGTTACGAGCTTCCTGCGGTCTAGAACAGGAATTCCCGAGGCTTGCGCTCGGCTCTCATAAACTGCGAGCAGCTTATTTGTCTTGCCCTCTAATTTCTTCAGCTCAAAATATAAATCCTTAATGATTTGATTCTTCTGCGACAACTCCAGGTCAATCTCATTGGACACCGCTTGCATTACAGAGGGTTCCAAGTGTAAGGCCGTTAAGACCCCCTCCAGCTGGGCATCACGCTCCTCTATCTTCGCATTAACCTCGAGTAGCCGCTGCTGCAAACCCGCATTGCCCTCATCCATAACATTCATGGCTTCTCGCAGAGACGATTCAAACATTACCTTCAGCTCTTCACGTTCGCCATACACTTTTTTGTAATCCATCTCTAATTGATGGTGTTGCTCGCACAATCGTTTAAATTCATCACATAGGTTTTTGTACCGCGCACGCGTCATGCTCAGGCTCTGCTTATCCTGAAAATGTTGCTTCTTCTTGACCTCGAGCTCGGCAACCTCGCGCTCTGCCTGCTCTAGCGGTGCAACTAAGTTTTGATTTTCTTTTTCTATATCATAGATGAGCGTTTCGTTATTGACATCGTTTTTCTTCATATTGGCTATTTCATCTTTGAGGGCCTGGATAATCACTAATTTGTTTTTGGTAATGCTATTATAGTAGGATTTCATCTCGGCAAACTTTTCTTCATGTTGTTGTATTAGGTGATTAATGTGCTCGTTCCAGCGCTCCTCAATATCATTGATCTCCGCCCGACGGCGGAGTTCCAGGTCTTCTCGCAAGCTAATTAACTTTGCTTCATACGAGGCCTGAAGCCGCGCCAATTCCTTTTCATGATTTTGTTTTTTCGTTACAGAGATCATATACTGGTGCGTGTCATGCTGTTCCATAATGTAGTCTGCGTTCGTCTCAAGCGCACTTTGCATTTCCTTGCAGTGGAGCTGCTTCTTTGATAAAATATCAGCCATGCGCTTTTCGTGAAGTCCCTCAGCTTGCTGCAAAGCAGCATCACTTTCTTCCTTGAGCTGTTTGACGGAGAGCTTCTGGTCGTAAAGCAAGTGTCTCACCTTTTGCTTGTACACCTTCATTTCGACTTGATGGGCACGCTCCAGTTCCACTAACTCACTCTCAGCGTTGCTAAGACGCGCCTCCTCATTAGAAAGCTCTTTTTTTGTGATCTCCCACATCTCATTGACCTTATCACGTTCTACCTGAAAGTAATTACGTAGCTGCTGAGCCTTAGTCAACACCTCGTCCATGCTCTGCAAAGATTTGAGATCCTCTATAGGATTCGCCGCCCGGCCCGCCTTGGCCTTTGAGGAAGATCGGTTAGACCGTCTAGGTGGCATTAGTAAAATGGAAAAAATACTAAAAATCCAAACTGACTCGTGTTCTGCGTTACAAATATACAAGGGCCTCTCCCCCCTGCCCTCTTCGATTTAGTTTTGCTCGCCTTCAATGAATAAAAACAGAGAAATCGGAGGATGTGGTGAAAGCTTTAAAAGTTTCAAAAAGAAATGAATAGCGACCAGGGCAAATCCCTTTGGAGGACTCAATTCAAAATTTATGGAGGACTAAAAGAATACAACAAAAAAGAATGTGGTAATGAGATTAGAGTTACTGTGTATCCGTTGCCACTTTTCGACATTCAATGTTTTCGTTTTCCCGTTCTATCATACGCTTGATTTCAACAATCTTACTATAAATGTCTCTCCACGATTCACCGTGTGCTTGGTCGGCAGCCCAGCTCTTCAGCTCACGCACACACTCTTCGAACTCATGTTGCCGACGTTTTGAATTAATCACGATGTCAGCCGTGGAGGATAGAAAGGTCAGACGCGTCAACAGTGCCTCCCGAAGAAAAGTGTATGCATTGCGCATCGCCCGCGCGCGCACCGCAAACCGATGGGCTCCATCTACCAGCGAAGATTCATGCTTTTGAATTATCATACGTACCTCATCACAGCGCGCACACAGCCCAGGAATATCCTCTGCAAATAGAACTTTCTTTGTAGAAACATCATCAAAAAATTCTTCCAGGGCGTCCAGGAAAGACAAGACATGCCGGGGGTATGCAGCATACTTGTCCACCTGCACATCCAAAGGAGACTTTGGATGGATCTCAAGGAGAGTCTTGGACAGTCGCTCGAACGCGAACACTAATAAATAATACCAGAGCTCGTTCGCCTCCTCCAGCGCCTGACGTACAGGCTGATGATTTGCACGCACGTAGGGATAAACATTTTGAACAAGTACTGCAAAATTGCTAGACATGGTTTTGTAGCTCTCGGCTAATGTCGCACAGAAGGCCTGAATGTGGTCAGGCTCCTGCAAGGCTTCCAAATTGGAAATTTGCTTCCGGCACCAAAGGATAAGTTTGCTACATTCCTTAAAAAATGAAATGAGCTGCTCATCCCGTGCTTTCCTTTGTTGTAGACCCTGTTGAACATGCTCAATGGCCTCCTTAGCAAGGCATCGCACCTCTGTCATAAGCTGCTCCTCAGTATCCAACGGAATGCCCTTGGCAGATGCCTTGAGTCGGAGACTGTTCAAAAGCTGCACAAGCTGCTCCTCTTTAGCATCCCATGTTTCCGTCTGTGCGTAATGAATATCTGTAGTCAGAAAACGGCCCTCACTAATATCTTCTATACTTTTAGAGAGAAGAGCTTTGAGGACAATCTGAGCTACTATGAGCTGTGCACGCAGCTCTGCCACCTGAGTCGCAACCATTTGAAAACCCCTAGCGTCATCAGGAATGTCACGCTTGAAATTACTTATCAGGGAAGACTCAATACAAGAAGCGGTAGCCACACATTCGCTCATGGCACTTAGCTGCAGCTCACTACACCCGGAGCTCAGTCTTTGGAGGTCATCATCTAATTCTTCTATACTCTTTTCAGTAGTATACGCAGCCTCTTGGTTGTCACAAACGTCAAGAGTTTTCAGTAGCCTGGTAAATTCATCATGGATACCTTTATAATCGTCTATGGTAATCTCATCCTCTGATTTTCGCTCTACATTAGCCAGATCGCTGTGAAGCCTGTTATAAAAATCTTTCAGTTGATCACTAGACATAGGTTTCTGCCGACCACGAGCTAAGAATGCCCACCCCTTTATCACTATGTTTCACTCGCTGAATTTATTCGAGGAGGGATTTGAGACCTAGAACTATCAAATAATAACAAAGCAGAATTTTGTTCAAGAAATATAGAAGGGACTTTTTCACAACAAAAAAAATGAAGTGATAAGAAGCTCAACATCCTGTTTTCAGGAGCTACTCTAGACCTCTTCATCAAAAGTTATTTCAAAGGAAATAATAACAAAAGTACATTTACAGCATCTCCTGCGTCATATCGGCAACGTGTGTTAATCAGACTATCAGTAGCATTCGAAAAATGGAAAAGGGGCGTAACTGAGTCCTTTTAGTTTTTCCCAAGCTCGCGCAGGCGGCGCACGGTGGATCGGACCGTACTGTTGTTGGGAGTGCTCAGGGTATAAGCACCACCGACCATCGTCTTTCCACAACCCTCACAGCGCCAGATGCCAACGGCCTTTCGGCGAAAGCCGAATTTGCCACAGAAAGAGCAGAAGTGCTTGGCGTGCTGCGAGACCTCAAGCTTCTTGGCGCGTTTACGGGGGTTGGCGCCGTAACGAGCCCCGTAGCGGCCCATCACGCCCATCTTCACGGTGCGTTTGGACATTTTTTCGATGGAGATGACTATATTGTATTTGTTTCATAAGATGATAGGGGATAAGAAGAGGTAGAAATAAACGAAGCAACGCGAAAAACTACAGTGCAACAATTTGTTTTAGAATAACTTTTATAATGCTGTTTTGTTGCAAAGCGACGTAGTGCTAAATATTTCAATGGGGCACAGATAGTTGGTTGATTCAACCATAGTCATAAAATAATCCGATTAATAAACTAAAAGTCGAAAATTGATTTCAAAAAGAACATAGAAATCTAGTAAACGCGTAAATATTTTGAAAAAGTAGCAAGCCAAGAAATACGTTATACTATCATGTACTATAATGAATCTCGGCTTTCGCACCCTTGATTAGTTAGGTTACTACTGGCTGTAAATAGACAGTAAGAAATTTATGAGGTAAAAAAAAATAATTGTTTTAGTACAACGTAACCTCAAGAATAAATGACCTTGCTGTGAGTGTAAATAATCAATCTTTAGAATTTGCTATACTAGAGTTATTCTTTTCACAATTAATTTAAATATATAAAAAAAAAATTCGTCAAAATTACTACAAAAATAGCCCAGAGCACTACATTACGAATCAAAGTATCAGAAAGTTCAACTACCTGCTGCTGTTGTCCCTGTACCTCCCTTTCTTGCGTAAAAGACGCACTATTAGATGGTGGTGGTACCTCTGCCCCCTGACCGGGAGCGTGACTATTATTGTCTTGATCATGCCTGGAGTTGCTGTTTGAATCCGCCCTTTGGGTAATTCGCCGAGACAAACGTTGATAAGCATCCCGCACTACAGTACGCCATTCACGCCATGCCACAAAGTGATAAATCGCCCAAGCTGCAACAAAAGCTAAAGTCATCCAAAAATTTCCACCAAGAAAGAAAAAAGAGCTCCCAACGGCTAACGGAAGACCACCCCGGTGACGATACTGAAAGGGATGCACATGTGGTGTGCGCCGCGGTGGCGGTGGGGCCCGCGGTGCATTGGGCCGGGGGTGCGGAACGCTATTGGTATGGCTTGAATTGGACTGCGAATAGGTAGAGCCCCTATTGTAGGCAGAGGCTCCGTGAGGACGCACTTGCTCCCGAGCAACGGGGTGCTCAGCACAGTTGATACTATAAGCTGTCACACTAGGCACGTCATAAGTCTCAGAATGAGCGGCGTTGTCCCGGGCCTCCGCACTTTGCGGTGGTGGCCGTGGGTCTTGACCCACCCGTTTGCCTTTACCATACAGAGGTATAATATCCCCAGGGACACGCTCATCCACACACCCCTTGCATACTGGGCAATCCAGTGCCCCGTTAGGATTATTAAGCCAATGGTCGAGACAACCCCAGCAAAAGAGGTGACCGCAGCGCGTTACAACGGGGTCTGTCGCAAGATCTAAGCAAATGGCACAATTGAAGTCGGCCATTTTCACCCCCTCCTCTAATTGAGGGATAAGTGTAGGTTTTTAATTTTTGGAAAATGGATATAGATATAAATATATATGTATGTATACGAATGCTGAAGAATCTAGAAGAAAATTAAAATCATGCAAGAATCGTGGTTTATACGCTACACAAGAGCACATGGAAAACAGAAAGACGGAAAAATAATATTATTAATAGGTAGCAATAAAAAGGACTAAGAAAATATGTAAGACACAAGCAATTAGATGTGAATACATCAGATAATATAAACGCGTAAATGATCATTAAGGAACATTCACTCCCTCTGAAAAAAAATCTATTACCCCGTAAAATATTGCAAATCCAAGTTTTAACTCAAGGAGTAAAGAAACAACTCTGCAGCATTAATAATGATGAAGTATATTAAAACTATAATGTAATGAAAAGAGTAAAGAGTGTAATATTGCTAATAATAATGAAAAAAACGTAGCAAATGTTGCTCAAAGGAAATGGAAAAAATCATCAATACTTTGATTAGAATTATGTATTAATCTACTTTCGACCATCATAAGCGAACCATGACATAGGTTAAGTACTCCTTCAATTTAAGCAGATAAAAAAGTAGAGCCATCGGCAAAGAAATCATAAACTAAGATATCCGATAAAAATGTCCCATGTGTTTGAATTTATATGGATCTTTGTATAGAGATTACACGACTAACTCACGACCCAGTAACTACAGCTAACCAGACCTACAATACAAGGTTCAGAAAGAAATGGTCGTTGTAACGCTCCATGAGTCTCAACCAAACGACACAGGTGGAAAAAAGTTATGCCTTAACGTTCGGAAGACACAATTAACGACAAATAAGCACTTCGTGAGTAAATGCATCGCACACAAATCAATGCTCACGTTTCAACTATCCGAAGGCAATCTTCATTAAATATACAAAAAGAAGTCTCATCGGTGCATCTAAAAAGCAAGGACTAATGGCTATCTACGAGGTTATATGATTGCTAAGACGGAGAACAGAACTAAAAGAAAGTGGGCACATCTTAATAATCATAACACTCAAAGTAATTAAATTTTCATTCTTCGAAAGGCAAGAAATCCCCTTAAATCAATGGTTTTTAATCGTAGAGAAGCAAATCAATTATTTTTCTTAGTAATCCGAAAAAAAACATTAAATATTATTCCTAGAAATATATCACTGATTTAAAAATCCGCATTGGCATTCACAACATTTTTAGAATTAGTTTACTTAAATTTTTACTCAACGTATCATGTAAACTGAAAAATGCTTACCTGAATTTTGACCTTTATTATTCTTCTACTTTTAGACAAAGATAATTAAATATGAGGGAAGGGATCAATCTAGAAAAAAATGTTAGAAAAAAAAAGCGTATACATTCCTACACGTACCTGGGCTATTCAACAAGTCCCTTTGAAATTAAAATTTATACCAAATAAATGGGAGGAGTTTTTATCAACATAATTTTATATTTACCAATTAATTAAGTTTTTATAGAAAATTCTCAGAAAATCAAAAAAAGTAAATACATACATTTATGAATGCATATGAGCTATTAATATCAACTTAGATAGAATGAAATTTTATTTTTATTTGCACTACGCTTACAGTTCCCTGTGAAACCTTTCTGCTAACTCTGCTAAAAACTTATCACCTTCTTATAGCTTTCCGTCATCAAAATTACCGCAATACTTATGCGTACAGACTTTCTGGAGTAATTTTTCTTACTTCATCCTGTCTATATTACAAGGTTCACCAACACTGCTAAGTTAGAGCCAGTACACAAGCCCAGCATCAGGAAGAGACCGGACAAAATACCTGCCAGGGATCGCTCTCCAGCCTTAGATAGAGTTGGAGTACGTGGAGAATACATGCATGCCATTGTACCGAAGTACCCATTCGTCAGAGAGAGTACTATACTCAGGACGTAAGGTAGGGCATATCCTTTGATAGTGTGCTTAGCGCACAGTACCAGTAGCGGAATAATGACAAGTCGCACAATGGAACCGGCTAACACAACCTTTGGGGATGGCCGAAAGGGGCGGTACATCAGCAGTATACGTGACAAGAAGTCTCCCAGATTATATAGAAACACAACAAGCGTAGAATACCAATCATTCGTGTTAATGGCAACCTTGAGGAAGAGGCCTGGAAACAAAAGGAGACTTATGAAGTATATAAAAAAGGTACAGAACAACATTGGCCACACTCTCTTGATCACACTCATAGCGCTCACCTTGAGCATCTGATCACTGGATGTTACGTTGTTCACTTGATCGACATCTACCATTTTGTCCGCGTCACCAGTAGCCCTCAAAATTGCTGCGTTGGCACTGTGGTGCTTGTGGTGAGAGTCATTCTCAAAGTTTAACGAGCTCGACTTATTCAAATCCGCATTCATCCGCTCCACCTGAGAATCACCCTTGGCCTCATTAGCTACCAAGTTGCCTTCAGCCACAACGTTCATGCCCTCATTGGGCTGAGCGCCATCAGCACGATGATCTGACCCCAAACGAGGCGCCCCAGAATGAATAAGATCCGTCGTCTCATCAGCATTGCCCGAGTCGGGTTGATTGTCAACATTTGCATTGGATCGCTGTAGCGCTCTGAAACGGAACTCGGCATTGTACTTTTGTGCAAACGGATTTTTGTCTAAAATCAGCATCTCAACCAACGCCAAAAACTGAAAAAGCATGCCAATGCCAAGATAAATGCGAGACTTCTTCAGGGTATCACTGAAACTGTCAGAGAAAGAGCCCTTCAGAATCATCTCAACGACAGACATCATTAGTGGAGATATCGTTAGACCCCATTGTGCACCGTTCATGAACTTGGTAGGAAAAGGGCCCACAATAGCGTTGGTAGTCGAATCACAGAGGGCTTTTGAAAAACCACTCACAATCCCCACGACCACTATTACTGCGATGGCACCATCTTGTGAGGAAATTTTAATGACTGGGACGATCTCAAGGATGAACATTTCAATGAATGGAATGCACAAGCCAACGATGAGACGAAGGCGAAGAGGGATTCGACGCACGAAAGGGGTCAACGTCAGAGCTTCACAAATGAATTGAACTGCGAACATGATCGCGAAGAAGAAAGTGAGCGCGTTGTCCCAAAAGTAGGGCTTCTCACATACCGCATCGGGCTTGCCCGTGGCATAAATGTAGTACGAAGCAATGAAGGCCGGAGCGCTGAGCATCGCACCCAGTACCATCACGATCGACATGCCCAACAGAACAAATGTTACGTAAACATTTGCCTCTGCAAAGCTGTGAAAGCCAAGTGTTGTCATTATTTACTGAATAACTATTCGTAATGTTTTCAACACTCCAAAGCAAGGTAATTCGAGCTGAAATATTAATAGAAGATACTTTACTACTTTATAAAGTTTACTTGAAATAATTTGAAGAGGAAAAACGTGAAATATCGCATTATTGCAGTGAGTTGACAGGAGCAGTAGGTCATAAAGTATACGACAAAAAATAATGGAGGAAAAAAACTGTTGAAGTGTCCACATGTTATGGAAACCCCCTTATCACACTCCATGTGCACGCACTCCTGTTGAAGAATCATGATTGCATAAACTAATTGAATCGATATAAGGTGTCATGACGGAGCCGATCAATCACGTAATTGCTTCCAGCAGCTGTCATCAGCATGTTGATTAGTGAACTCGTGTCCTGTAGCGTGTTGTAAGCTTAAAAAATTTCGTATGCTGTCTATATCCTCATGGAGTGCAGTAAAACGCGCAAGCTCCTCAGACTTATACTTGGCCAAGTGTACTAAGTGGGGCGCTATTCCCGCCATCACAGCGACCTCAACGCCATAACTCCTCGCGCATACACCCGGCACTAGTCGATAGAGAAACGTGGGAGAGGGCACGACATGACAACTGTTCTCACTCCTCTCACAATTCTTGTTATTTATAAACGATGATTCTAACGAGTTTGTCTGTTTTAAGCTCTCGCTACCAACACTACCGAAGGCAAAGTCCATGTAACCTAGTTGAACCTTTTTTATCTTACTAGGACTCTCAATATCGCAAGAAGAAGTGTTGTAACCTTGGCTGCGGGACTGTAGAACCGCTGCGCGACTGCAACGCTCCTGCTCGAGCGCCAGCGCGTGGTAATGAGTAGAAAACAACGTAAGTGGCGGTGGGTCGATGTCTTCCTTAAGCGCCTGCAACGAAGCATGCGCGATGGCAAGCCCATCGTGGGTAGAGGTTCCCCTCCCCAGCTCGTCAATGAGGCAGAGGCTTTGCCCGTCGGCGCTGCGCAGGATCTCGGCGGTTTCATTGAGCTCGACATAGAGCGTACTCTGGCCTTTGTGTGACGCGTCACGTGCCCCGATACGAGTAAAGATTCGATGTATCGGTGAAAATGTCATGGCGCTGCCCAGTATGGGGGCGCCCATCTGAGCCAAGATTACATTCACAGCTATTGTGCGCATAAGTGTGCTCTTACCAGCCATGTTAGGGCCCGTGAGGACAAGAAGCCTCCCGGCCTCATCGTCCAGAGCGATGGAATTGGGCACCGCGTTTTCAGGCACAAGCGTCGGGTGCACCAAATCACTCGCACGCAGGAAAGCGCTTCTACCGACCGCGGGACGCGCTATGTCTCCTGCTTCAATGGAGCCCACACCAATGTCCGGCCGACTGTCTATCGCATCGCTGCAAAGAGGAACGACGAGCTGTGGGAAGCACATCCTCGGATAGCGGCTCCATAGATTGGCAAGATTCACGAGGCAGTCGAAGTAAGAAAGCGCACTGGATGCATTGTAAAGAACAGGAAACCACTCGCAGATTTGTGCGGCCACACGACGCAAAACGCCATACAGGGCCGCAGATTTCGATGCAGTAGCCTCTTTATGTGCCTCCACCAACGGTCCTAACACCTCCATGGAATACTTAACATTCTTGGCGCTGCGTGCGCGCTCCACCAAGCCGCGTGGTGTCAACTTCGGAGCATCTGTGGAAGCCACTTCCAGCAGGAACTGGTCCTTTCCTAAGACACTAAAGTTAACCGGGGCATTCGCGAACAGGTCCTGCTGTGCTTTTCGCCGTGCTTCGTGAAGCTTTGCCTCTACAGATGCAAGCCTGTCAACAGCCTTGTCATACTCAGATGAGGTGCCTCTGGACGGAATCAACAACCCAGCTTCCTTCACAGACTGCTGATCGAAGAGTCCTTCTATCGCACACACAGTCGGAGCTGCTGCCTGAATCTCGTGGAGGAGCTCGCTTAGCAAGCGTGGCACCGCCCCAGTGGGTCGCCGCTTTCGACAAGCCGAGTCGAAATAGTGGCTCCAGTCCATCAGTTCTCTAAAAGCCCTCACAGTAGAAGCAATAATAAGGAGATTTTTGCGATAGTGCACCAATGGGTCTACATAAGAAACGCTAAACTCTTGATCGGTCTTCATTTCCACAAGGCGAGAGAGGTTGCGCTCAAAGTCGACACTGACCAAGTGTGGGTAGCTGCTTGTGAGGTCTAAGCGCGCTCGCTTGCACACCGCCGGAGACACTGTTGAAACCCCTGGTGAGGCGTTTGGAGAAACTGAATTGTACTGGGTACCACACGATGACGCGCTCTCTACGATGAAAGCACTCAATTGAGAATTCGGAGGGCTAGTCAAGGAGACTGCAGAGTCATTTAACCAGACCTCCTTGTGCAGCCCATCCTCCACTAAGAAACGAACTACCTCTTGTCTTCCCTGGATAACAGCAGCCTCTGAAGACGGTCGAAGCACCCATGACCGGAACAGTCGCTTCCCACCACTGGTAATACAATGGTTGAGAGTCTGGCACAGAGAATGTGTTTCTTCGCCATCCTGCTGGTTTGCCACAATCTCAAGATTTCGAACTGTGCACTCATCTAATACAAGGCCATGATCATATCGGCGCTCCCAGGACATCAACCCAAGTTCTCGTACCGAAGTACCAGACAAAAGCTTGCCAGCGCACCCTTCATCTGTGGCAACCTCGGCGTGGCCAAGAGCTGAGAGGTGGGCCGTGTACAGCTGTGCCTCATCCAGGAGTGGTTGCTCTCGCTCTTTCTTAAGCATTCGAAAGTAAGTTCCCATGAGCATTCGTGCAGGTGAGTCAACCCCAAGCAATGCCCTCTCAGGAGTCAGCAGCACAGGAACTGGGATGTGCTCCACAGGGTAGCCCTCACCCTCCATCCATGTCCACAGGAAGTCTGAAGCCAAATTTGCACGGCTAGCTACAGAAGATTCCTCCACATCAGAAACCTTCTCAGGAACAATTATTTCCCTAGGATCAAGTTGCTGAAGAAGGGCTGATAAGGCCCGCAGTGCTCCCTCTGGGCATAAGCGTCCCTGGGGCTCGCACTTCACTCGAAACGCAGAGTCGGAAATTTTCCCCCCTCGGCAAACTCCACCAAACCCTTGACCACCACACAGAGCCTGAATTGCATCAGAATTACCACAAGGGCACCAATGCACAATACGTCTGGACATATCCACAGCAAGACAATCAATGACACCCAAGTTAAGGAGCGCAGGGGACACAGCCAATACAAAAATGGCCTTGTGATCGGAGAGCATGGCAGGATCCGTGATAGTTCCTGGCGTGAGTATCTCCACCAGCTCACGGCGTATGACCTTCGCCTTGTGTGCGCCACTAACGACACTGGAGTCATCCTCGTGAAGCTGCTCCACACGCCCAACCTTAAACCCACGGCATACAAAGAGGCGAGCCCATTCACTAAAACTTTGCTCTGGAACACCGGCCAGGCGCATTTTGCCTCGGCTGCTGGTATCCACAACCATCTTGAGGCCAAACTCACGAGATGCCACCGTCGCGTCATGATCATACAGTTCATAAAATTTACCCTTCTTAAAGAATATAAGAACGTTGTAATGGTTCGCTTTGATTTCCCAATACTGGCGTTCCATGTTGCCCATGGCGTCAAGGTCTTTCAGCGGGATCACAATTGTTGATGGCGGACGGGCAGGATCGATGTCCTTAAGAAATGGATAAGCAACACCCACCCCGCACGCATTAGCGTACTCATCAAACATAGTCATGTTACTTGGAAGGGAAGACTATAAAGAACTACCGTCTTATGAAATGCAGAAAGAAAGATAAATGGATGAGGTACACACATTTAGATCATTACTTATGGACAGATTTTCTATTAATGTAAAACTTTCAGCGTAAGACATCTTCTGAAGCTATTTATTGTATGTAATAATTATTATAATAATAAGCATAAAGATATAGTAATAATAACTGACTTCATTATTAACATAAAAATGGAAATAATTGAAGCATTCTATTATTATAGTTCTTCTAGAAAATTTTATGGGTATTTTAAAACTTATATCATTTCAATATTTGTTGTATAAGAATATTATCCCTATGTTAATACTTAAAGACGAAATGAAGAGCAGTATATAACTAGGAAAAATGGAGGAATATCTATTCTTTTAATAAATTAACAAATAATGTTGTTTTTTCTACTCTTGCATTCTCATTCGATTTTTATTCCTTTATACTCTGTTCTTTTGGGAACTATTCGAAAGGCAATAATTAAAAATAACATTTTCTATATGTCCCATTAACAAATAGTACATTTATACGATTCATATTTTTGGGAAATACCGTTCAAGATATGAGTTCGTTTATATGAAAAAATTAATAGAATCATAATTCATCGTACATACACATACGTAAAACATATTTGAAATATATAATAAAGCACTATAAGACTAAAACTTGAAATAGAATAATCTACCGATGAGAATTGGGATATTTACTAGGATTCCAAATTTTCTAATTATATTGGAATGAAAAATGGAACAGGCATAAGTAAAATAATTATTCGACGTTTGTAACGAAGTGGAAAAGGAATTAAAGATAGCCCCAGCCAAATCTTTCTTCTCAAGTCGTATATTTTGAGTTTAAAAACATCCACATTACTTCTTTAGAGTGCAAATTCAATAACCCAGTAGGAAAAAAATATAGATAATTAAGACGTCAGTGTTTATTAGCATTCATAAATGATTAGAATTTTTATGAAAGAATTAAAAACTCCAATATAGTGGAGTCCTTCGAACTCAAGTCCATATAAAATTACTTCATATGTACTTTGAACTATTTCACAAAGCTGTTGGTTTTATTTTATTTTATTGATTACTTAAAATAGAACAACTAGCAATGAAAGCAGAATTTTTTTAACTGATATTAACATATTGAGTGCTAGAAATATAACACTTCCAGAAGGACGTAATAGAAAAGAACTAAGAATCTTGCAAGTAATTGGGTCGTTTTCACTAGATAAAACGCTTTTTACTAAACTATTCATAATTTTAGCAAATTTAAAATTTAAATAATGACCAGTGATCAGTCGATAAGAAATATCACTTTTGTGGAGATTATTTGAATCAAAAGTAGCTTAATTCAAATGGCGTATTTTGAGGGGGAAATATGACAATAAACTCGCTGATTGTGTTTGGATAATGGCGTGATTTCTCGAAGTTCCATTTTCATTAATATTAATTTTCAAGCATAAATATACAGTAAAAAATCAATTTGATTTTGATTAAACAAAAACTCTAAAAAGTGGTGTGACATAAAAAGTATTCTTATTTAGACCAACTACTTATCTGTCCAACAGAAATACCGTTGCTATGCACTCTAAGAATAGTAACCTTTCATTTACATATGTACTATGCCTACTACAATTATTATTATTAGTTAGTGTTGTTGTATTACAATAATAATAATAATAATAATAATAATAATAATAATAATAATAATAATAATAATAATAATATATATACGTACGATAAAAATTTTAAATAAGCATTTTTAGATTTGCATTATCATTAATCTATAAAGAAAGAAAGTTTCGTATATGATCAATGCGTATTTTTTTTTGCTGTTAAGCCACCACAATAATACGATATTTTTATTTTAACGGAAACCTTTCGACTACTAAAATATTACTGGAGGTATTCTTAATAGTTAAAATTGTAACTATTAAATTTATTTATATTGTGCCATCAATTACTTTAGAAAGCACATTTTCTTATGTATATAACGAATATTTTAAAATGTAAAATGTGTTGATAAAGGAATTAAAAAGCCTCCTAATGATAATATCACCTTACAGAAAATACAACCACTATAAATGGTGAGGCACTCGCCTTCTTATAGAAGACAAAGCATAACACTGTAATGATCACAAGAAAAAATATCAAATTTAAAAAACACTTTTCTTATATCTACATGTCACACATCGGCGTAAATGATTAGATATACAAGTGATTATTCATGTCCGCATAAATCTAATTGGCTCAATAACCCCATGCCAGTGCATTTGTCGGGAAAATTACTATCCAATAAAACGGACCCGCACCCTCAACTTTAATGCATACTCGGGAATCTGCATCAGGAATTTGTCTAACCGACGTTGAAGTTGCGCCACCCATCTAGCTTACGTTCACTAACTACACTCCATTTTGCATATTAACGAATTCAAGGCCTTTTCGGAATAAAAATCACTTGAAATATTCATTAACAACCCCTCGTAAAATGCATTTACAAAACTATCGATGAGAGGGCACTGAAAAATCCGGGATCTGCTGACTCATAGCCCCATATCCTAAACACTTGAAAATTACCGCTAATAAAGTCCCTCAAACTAATTTAAAAGTCTTCGTGAAGGAAATCCCAGCCCCCTCCACACCTCCATTAAGCGTTTTGATTTATCGTAATGCTTTGGTTTTTCCATCG